GGGTCTCGGGCTGTGCAAGCTGGTTTTGCTAGATTCACCACAGCGGATCCTTGATGGCAAGTCCAGGAGAGCATTTGGACCAGGGCAAGAGGCAGGAGGCCCCCAACCCTGGGAGCAAGGGCTCATTTGGGGAGCTCCCAGCCTCGTCCCAGGCATCTCTGGGAGGAGGGGACAGAATCTGGGTCACAGTGCGAGCCTTCTTGAGCTTGGCACATTCCTCCCGCCTTCCCCCCCCCCCCCACAGCTGTCCCAGCAGTTTTCAAGAGCAGAGAATAAGGTCTGCCTGTGCGTGCTTGACCCCTGCATGCAAGCCCTCACCTCTCCCTCCGGCCTCCTTGTTTTCTTACGTCAAATCGCTTAATTAACCATTAGGGAGGATTTATTGGCTTGTCAGGCCCAAGGGTGTTAAGTTAAACAGGGCTGTGTAGCATCCTTTCGTTTTTTTGCCTGGTAGAGGGAGGTAAGGGAAGTGGGAGCCGCCATCTCGCCTTTTAACTCCTTAGCATTCTGACAAACCGAACAACTTGCCAGGCATAACTGCTGGTGGGTTTCAGATGAGCGAGGTGTTGCTGGTCCCCCCCCCTTTCTCCTTCCCCCTCAAAGGGAGAAATGTCCAAGCAGTCTTGAATTTATGCAGCCCCCTTATCATTCCAGAACATCTGTCTATCAGCCAGGCTGGCCCTCTCCTAAGCGATGCCAACTTTTCACAGAAAGGTCACATATAGGGGTATTTGCTGCTGAGCACCCACTGTTCTCCAGTTGTTCTTTATCTCCCCCCCCCCCCCCCCACATTCAGCCATTGATGGCATGAGCCGCACGTCTCAGAAAGCAAGCAAGTTTGGTATTTGCAGTCATGCGTCGATTAATTCCTAATAAAAATAAACAGAAGCTGTAGATTAATTCCTAATAAAAATAAACAGAAGCTGTAAACAACTATTACGGAATAAGTTTTGCAAAAGCCGAACATCTAAATTAGGGCATGCTTCTTCAAGGTTTCAGTTTAAGAAAAGCCTGCAGTGCTTGGCTGTCTCGAGTTTAGAGAAGACTCCATGGACTAGGCAAGGAAAATGATAGAGGTTCTTGAAGCTATTTATGCTGGGGCAGAGTAGAGCGGGAGAAGTTGTTCTCTTTCTCTAGGAGTAGTAGAACTCAGGGTCATCCAATAAAAATGACAAGCAGCAGTTGAGGCCTGACATAGAGAAGACAAACACTTCATTCACAGACCGCTTGAAAATCCCTTGGGATCTCAGTGGACCATTTCGCAGACTTGATGCTTGGGTTCCTCTTGATGAAAGGACATGTTTAACTCATATTCTAATAACCATAGTCATGCCTTTAACCAGTAAATTAAAAAGAGGGGCCTCCTGGCAGGTGTTAATAAGGTTTGTGGAACCTCCAGGTTCTGAAACAGTCTAACTCTTGAGTATTGGAGAAAGGTTCTTTTCTCCAAGGTTTGTTCTTGTGTTTCCTAGAGGCATTCGAGCAACCAGTGTGAAAAACAGGCCTCGTATGTCCTCATCTTCAGGTTTCTGAGCTTCAGGCTTAGAACCAGACCAGACACTCTTGCCCCCTTTCCCTCATCTGGTAGATTCCCAGCTTTTCTGCCATTTCCCCCCATAAAAGGCTGAAATACTTCGCCCAATATTTAGTTCATAGCAATAAGAATTGTTGCTTTAATAAAATGACATTTCAGAACTCTGTTGCAAATACCCAAACATTTTAAACAGTCCCTGGGATAAGGAAGATTCTGCTTTTGGATAGTCCTGATCTTGGCGAGTTTCATAGCGACATAAAATGTGGAGCAAATTCTCTCTTACGTCCCGGTCCACTTTCCCTGCACGTCCATTTCCAAGTCTGTGAGTATTCTGTGGGAACTCATTTCAGCTGAAGGATTACCTCCTAGGAGAATATGTGCCGCATTCTAAATGCCCCCATTTCTTCCTGCACGAGAAAATTCCTTCTCCCCCCGCCCCCACCACCCTCTGATTCCATGGTTTTAACTGTGGGGCCATTTCAATTGCTTGTACTAAATGCTAAATTGGCCTGCTCGGCCCCTTGTGGTTTTTGTGGCACTGTTTTGGGTGCTGCTATGATGCTCTTGCTCCATCACGGCCAAGGCTGTAAATAACATGACAGTCTTTGGACTTGTTTTTAAAGTGACAGTATTGAGATCTGTAAAATGATGCTTGGTCTGGAGAAAGTGAATAGAAGGTCCCCCGCCCTGCCCCTAATTCTAGAATTTGAGCCAAGTGATAGGAGATTGCACAGCCGAAAGGAAGCTTGCTCGCTTGCGCTCTTTCTCTCTCTCACACACACACCCCTGGGGTAGCATACCTACCCATCCTGTCCCTTAGTCCAGCTTTCTCCAACATGGAGTTCATGAAACATTTTGGGCCGACTTCCCTCAGCCCCAACCGGCACAGTCAGTGCTCTGGAACTCTGGGAGTTGTAGTCCAGAACAGCGGGAAGATGTCTGGTAGGAAGGCTGTTCCAGCCTCTCTGCAGTGAAACATGCAAAAGCCATTTAACCACGAGGAGCTTCTCCGCAGCTGGGCAGGTGCTACAATGCACCAGCTACCTGGGAGGCAGGGCTGGTTGACTTGTCCTTCCTAGGGATGCGCAGTGCACCATGCACCAGGGATTGGGCCTGCCAGAAGTGCTTCGTGGACAGCGGACCCCGAGTGCAAGGGTGACGTGTTCCGATTTCTCAGGGGTCGGGACTGGGCCGTGTGCGTCCTGCTTCCTACATTCCTCTCCACATGGTCTCATCCATCTGCCATAATCATAACATTAGGCCTGTGCCATTAACCCAAGTTTATACCTAATCAGGCTTGTGACCAGCACCAAGCCGCTGTGCGTCTCCTGTTCGTTTCAGTGGGGCTCGTGCAGAGGCACTTCCTGGGTCCGTGTGTTAATGGAAGGCTGGACCAGCTGCTTCGGCTTCTGGCATTGGCTGACGCACCAGCTTCCCAGTGAGAAGCCGTTGCTTGTTTCCAGCCCTCCTCCCCATTTCCTTTGCATTTTGGCTGTGCAGTGAGTGGCTTTATCCTGCCTCTCTGATCAGGGAAACGCTGCGCCTTTGGCCCCAGCACAAGGCAGAGGTGGTGGGGTGGAGGGGGACGGCTTTGGTGCGGGATGCCTCCTTGTCGCCACCCGTAGCGCCCCGCTCTGGGATGGATGTCCCCGTGCGAATGCAGGGAGCAGCTCCAGGCCAGGGCTTCCACCGGCGGTCACAGTTTTTGGAACAAGCCATCAAGGCCCCTTCCTCCTCCTCTGGCAGGCCTCTGAGATCACCCTGCGAGGAGGCAGTGACAGCTCGGCCAGCTGGAAGCAGAGGTCACAAGGCCAGCACCCCCCCAGCGGCCAGGCGCAGGGGCTTGCCAAGCAGATCGCATTCATACGGATGAGCCTTCCCTTGAAGCCTCCCAGGGCACAGACCCTGTAAGGAGTGCCTGGGTGCCGTTATCCAGTCAGTAAGGATTGCTGGTATGTGCATAGCACATACATTTCAGCCGTTAAACCACCAGCATTTTCATAACAGATTTTGAGTGTCTCATGTCTGTTATGTTAGTAACCATTCACAACCATCTGGTCAGGTAGGCCAGCTTTGTTACATCCAACACTGCCACCACCCGCCGCCCCCAGCCAACCAGAGCAAAGATATTCACACAGGGCCCTATAACCGGGCTGGGCAAATTGTGGCCCTTCAGATGTTCAGGACTACAGCTCTCATCTACCCTAGCAAGCATAGCCTCTGGTGGGGGATCGTGGGAGCTGCAGGCGAAACCATCTGGAGAGCCGTCAGTGGCTCGCCCCTTCTTTCAGGAGAGTTCGTCCCCGGCAGAAGGAATTTTACCTGAGCATGTCCTCAGTTACAGATCATTCTTCTAGTCCTTGCACTAGACCAGCTCAGGCCCGCAGAGGCTGCAGTTGAGAATGAGAGCTCTGAGGCCCTCCAGTCTCATTTTTAGAGAAATCCTCGGCAGGATTTCTAATCCTTCCGAAGCCAAGAACTGCTTGAGAAGAAGCGTGTGCAACACTCCCGAGACCTAAAATGCCAGTACAGGGAGGCGGAATGCAACCGACATGAGGTTTTAGTTGGGTTCTTGGAAGGGGGCCTTCTTGGGATGCCCTAGCAGAGGCAGGGGGGCAATAAAGAGGGTGCTCCCTCGTATTCCTCACCCCCAGCCCTCTGCAATGGCTCCAGCGGGGAGCAAGTCCAGTCCGCTTGGTCCATTGATCTTCAAAGTAGACAGGCAGTTTAACAGGGGCCTGCAAACAGGCCTGGTGGATGTTCCCAGCAAGATGCCAAATTCCTGAGGCAGTTGAGACCTCTTCCTTCGCTCGGGTCCTCCCACAGCAGCCTTCCTCAACCTGGCTCCCTCCAGATGTGTTGGATAACAGTCCTCAGCATCCCTGGGAGGGGGATGGTAGGAGTTGGAGTCGGACACATCTGGAGGGAGCAAGGCAGTGGGAGGCGAGCCTGCAGCAGCTGCGCTAAGGGGCCTAACCTGCTGCCCTGTGGCTTTTCTCGCTGCCTTTGGAGGCGGCCGCGGTGGCAGTCCTGCCCAGCTTTTGTTCACCTTGCCCAGTGTTGTGCAGGAGAACTTCACAGCATCAAGGTTGCTCCAGTTGTGAACGCGCCTCTTCCAATGGGGCGGGGGACCCGCTGGAACGAGAGCAGGAGAGGCAGGCTCCATTTCAGATCTGCGCACTCCAGCGCTTTGTACGATACTGGCCAGTCTCTTGCCAGTCCTTTCCCATAATAACCTCTGGCATGGAATTTGCCCTTACCCCGCTGGCGCACTCTGGTTTGGCATTTCAGCGGAACTCTCCTCCACGGCCTCATTCTTGCTCAGGTGCTGCCGGTTCAGAGCCCGGCAGCGCCGACGTCAAATTGTTAGAAAAGCACATCCTCAGCAGAAAAGATGTCCTTGCAGCCTTGGATCTGTGGGGCTGGGGCTGCAAGCCCCCGCTTCTGATTCCTCTCCTCTCTCCAGCTTCATCCCGACAGCAACCCGGCCGACCCTGAGCTGCATAGCCAGTTTGTGAAGCTCAACGAGGCCTACCGGGTGCTGAGTAAGCAGAGCAGCCGGAAGCACTACGACAGCTCGCAAGCAGCTCATGATGCCTGGGCCCCCCCAGCCAGCCACAGCAGCAGCAGCAGCTCCAAGAGGAGCCCGTTCGGCTCTACCGACTTTGGGACAAGGTATGGACAGGGGCTCCCCTGAAGGACGAGGCCTCCTATCCGAGGCGCGGCTTCGCACCGGGGCTGTTTTGGTTCACCATTATCCCTCCGAGCCCTCGACATTAACGTGGCTGTTGGTGCACCAGTTGCTGGATGTCGCGCACACTCAGCAAAAAGCTGGATTGGACCGCGGTTGTGAGATGGGAGCCATCTAGCCTTGGTGTCCCCTCTCAGCAGAGGGTGGCCAGATGTTACTTGCAAAGCGGAGGTGATGGCCCACCACTGTCTCTTTGTCTCCTGCACTCCTGCAGCTCGTTTCCTTTACTCAAGTGCCAAATCACCATCCTTCAGTACATTAAAAATGTACAATGCAGACAGTTGTTCTTTGCACAAGTAACACTTTGGAGCCTTGAAGCAACCCAGAACAAGTCTGCCCCACCTCCTCTGCAACAGTCCACATTTTTTGAGTGGTGCCATGATGCGCATATGTATCGTGCACATCCCAGGCCTCGGGGTGATCCTCATTAAAGCAGATTTGCAGTCCCTGTGAGCACACTGGCCCACATTCGTCCCTCGCCCTTGTTTATGGCCATTGCCTGTCACGCACTGTAAGCTAGTGGAGGGCATTGACCCGTCTGCCTTTTCTCAGTTCTGCAAGATGCTGTGCAGGCCTGCTCGCGGCGCATAGATAATAATTGGAAGCTGCCGTGCCTTCCGAGCCCCAGCTTCCCAAACGCTTTGTCATGGCCTCCATTCCACATTTGAGAGGACACCGGGATGACTCATTCCACAAGGCGTAGCCCAACCGAAAGCCATCTGGGCCGGTCCTTTCCTCCCCAGACCCGGTCCCGCAATACACAAGTCCTTGTTCTTCCCCTCAGGAGCAAGTCGGAGCCTGGCGACAACACACGGTACTGGCAGCAATTCCACGGGCCCTTTCCATTTTCTGGCCCCGAGTGGCAGAAGAGGCACAGTCACAACAGAAGGCTGTTTGGCTACTGCGTGCTCTTCATGATGGGCAGTCTGGTGGTCCACTATGTTGCTTACAGGTACGGGCTGCCTCCTGTCCCCCCGCCTTGCCAGAAAGCGGCCCCAGAGTGCAGGTTGGAAGGTTCCATGTCCAAACTTCCTGGGGGGGGCGGGGGGGACAGTACTTCATGGAGTGCTAGTGCACTTGGCTCTGGGGGCATGGGCCATTCTGCTTTTGCCAACCCAGAGTAGGGGCAAAGAGCTGAGCAGGTCATCGAGGATCCTGTTGATTGTTGCTTTATTTAAAAGTATTTTTATCCCGCTTCTCAGCCGAAAAGGTTCCCAGAGTGACTTACGTGCACTCCATAAAATGAGAGAGTCCCTGCCCACAGACTTCCCATCTAAAAAGTCATGTCACATAAGGAAGAAGGGGAGGGAAGAAGGAAAATTAAGTCATCCTCGAGCTGGACTGGTTGATGGCAGTACTTCTCTTCCTTCTCTTTGTGTCTTCAGGCGATGCCCCCACTTCCTCTTTGCTTCAGTGACCCTTCAGCTGCTGATGTTTCAGCAAATGTTGCCCACATGCTTCCAGGTTTCCCCTTGCCACCTCGCCCCGAGATGTGGTCACATCCACTGTATGAGACGGGTGTGCCAGGGCTTGGGAGAGATTCGTGATGGACAGATGGATAAGGGGGAGGCAGTCCGCTGAGGGCTGCGACTTGCGAAGGCTGTGTTGCAGGAGAGATTGCTATGGATGTCATGCCTGCCTTGCAGTCTTCTCAGAGGCACTTGGCTGGTCCAGGCATTCACTAAAACTTTCTTGGCCCAGGACTTTTCCTGTGATCTAATCCTATCATCTAGCAACCTTTAAAACATGAAGCAACAGCCACCACACTAAGAAAAAAAATTACATATTTTAGCTTGTTCAACGTACACAAAAAACTTAACCATCAGCTCAGAGAAATGCGCTGTGTACCCTATTATTAATGCCAGAACAAAGACGAACAGTAGAACAGAGAGTCCAACAGTTTATCTTGAGAGATCTTTCCACAAGCTACTGGAAACATATGGGGGAGTTATATCCCTTTTATTGTGAGCTGCTTATCCAGCACATGGAGACCAGAGCGCATAAATGGTACACTGGTCTCCAACTTGCTTCATAAGCCTTGCCATTAATGCATCGTAAAAACTCGAAATTCTCCCAGGGTGCTGTTTCCTAGCACATGTGTAGGACATGATGCTTAGATTTTTATTCTTCCCTTCTTTTTCCACCTATCTGATCCTCAAAATAGCCCTGTAAGGAAGGTTAGTCCAAGAGAGCGGGAGGGAGCATAGCTGAGCAAGGAACAGAATCCTCCCATGCCCTGCTTTGCCAGCTATACTTCCATACTACACTTCTCAAGGCAGTGCTCTTAGAATATTATTTTCCAAAACTATCCCCAGAAATTTGCACTTCACTCAATTTTGCAATGGGCTCTCTAGTTAAGAACAGTGTATATTGGTGGAAATAACATTAAAATAAATATCGAGACAACTCTTTGGAAATAACAAGCATAGTAGGGCAAAATGGTATGCAAACATGCATGGATAAGGAGAAATGCACATACAGCGCGTATGATTTTCTTACATTTAGAGTATAATCAATTCACTATCCGAGACAAACTGAACTTCTGACTAGAAAAAACAGAGTTTTTGTCAAATTCTAGTTATACTTACATGAGTGTCATAAAAGGGAAGCCTCAGGCAGTGTTGCCTCTTGAACCCAGAAAGGGATGGTGACCCTCGTGTTGCTGTTTGGGGCTCAGGGCAGGACTCTTCCCTTGCAGCCATTCAGTCCTTGTGGCTCTAGAGGCCCTTGTGCTGCACTTGGCTGGTGCTGTTTTTTGGGGGGAGAGGTTGCCCCCCACCTCCTGTCTTAGCTTTTCCCTTAGGCAACACAGTCTGCCAACCAGGCAGTTCTAATTCTAATCCGTTGTCTAATTAGCCAGCCTTGATCAGGGGAGATTAATAGTGAGCAGCCTTTAATCAAGCCTAATGCAATTAAATGTGCCCACTTAAGTCTGAAGAGGGGAGGGGCATTTAAAGGGACAGCAGAGAAGGTGCAGCAGCAGCACCGGCACCGTCTGGTCGAGCCCCATGCCTGACTGGGGGGGTGAGCAAGGAGGTGCACCCTGCAGTGGCATCGCAGGGGCAGCCCTGCTGGTACCGCCCGGCACCCAGGAGGTCTCTCCCAAGCCCTTCATGCCAAGCTCCAGGGGCCTTTTCCTATCCCTCGAATATGTCACCAAGTGGGGAGGGCAGCATCGTGTGTTGAATTGCACCTGTGCCAAGCTGGGAGTGTGGAAGCTTTCCGCAGGCTCTCTGACAGAGAAGGGTCACGTCTGCTCACTCGTATCTGATCCTTTGAGCCGAGGATGCTGGGCACTGAGCCCCTAAAGCGAGCGCTCCGCTGCGGAGTTGTCCTCCCTCAGCTTAAACGCAGCTCAGCAGTTTGAGCCTTTGCAGTACTGCGGAAGTCAAGGGCCCGAAGGAGGAGGCGTGGCCTTTCTTTATGTTGCTGAGAAGGGCCAGGGCTCAGTTGGATTTAACGTTCTGCCCGGCCTTGCACCTTTTCCAGCAAGGGTGGGGGGGCAGGGGGAGGCAGGCGAAGGAGGCTGCGCCACACTGGATCCTCTGGGTCCCTTTGCACCTTAGCGACTTGTAAATGGGATGTCACCCCCTGTGCCAAAGTCTCTGCGACTTTTCTCTCACCTCTGCCCACCCTTCCCCATCTTCTCGCAGGAAGCTGGCAGAACTGCACAACCATTTTATGGATGAGAAGGATCGAATCATATCTGAGATCTATAACAAGAGCAAGGAACAAGCCCGGTATGGATTTATGGGGACGAACAGGGAGGTTGTCTTGCCTTTCCTTTCCTTTCCTTTCCTTTCCCTTCCCTTCCCGGTGTAGATCTTTCCTCCAGAGATAATGATGCGTCATCTGCATGCAATACTGTAAGCAAGCTTGGCTTCATTTATGCCATTTTTAAGTTCTTCCTGATTATAAAGAGAGGCAAGGAGTTCTGAAGCCTAACCTTTGTTCTCTATCCATTTCCCTCCCACTGCCTTTTTATGGCTATGGGGAGTATAATTTTATGGTTGCGTGAATTTCTGAGATTGTTTTTTGCACCCAGTACCAAAGTCCAGGGCTTTTCTCCATGGACTAGAATGTGTGCCACTCTCAATTGTTTAGGAGAGAGATATCCGATCATTGATTATTGGTAAAATAGTTGATTCTGTGTGCAGAGCATTGGCAATTAGGTGGAAGTGGACTTCCATTTCAAAGGATGCATGAGGGAGCATTGGTGCTCTGGCTGGGATGGAAATAAACCTCTTCTCCTGGGAGCCGATTCTTTCTTAGCTTATTCATGGAATGACAGTTCCTAAGACTCCCTAGAGAGAAAGGACGATAGCTAAAGTACTTTAGGGTAGTTGAAGTACATTTATTAAGGGATGATGGTTGACGTACCTTTACCTGTGCACGAAAGCTATAATTTAGGGCCGAAAACGGTGGCATTGCTCTGCGTGGCACCTGTGCAAATGTACAGAGCGCGGTGCTAAGCTCAGTTCTGATCCTGGGGAGGCTCCTGTTTCAGTGCTACGGAGCCTGGAAGTCAGGTCGCTTGCCCTGATGGAGATCCGGTGCTCACCCTGCAGCCTTTGCGCTTGCCCCTAGGTCCATGGGCTTTCAGGAGCAGCAGGAGCTGTTGCGGCAGAAGCGTGCTGAATGGGCCCAGCGGTACCACAAGCAGCCCGGGCAGTTCACCGGAATGACCGGGACCTCGGACTCTGTGAAGGACCCAGCTCCTGCCACCTCCACAGCCAAGTAGAGCCGAGATGGCATCCAAATCCCAAGTCCTGGATGTTCCGTTTCAGCCGCTGTGGGCTGCCGAAGCGGATGCTCGGGGAGCAAGCATGTTTCTCTGCGTGCAGGGTGCTGCTGGCTGTCGTCGCTCCCACAGCCCCTTCACTTGCTGTTATTTCCGGTAGAGTTGCAGGCTTCCTGCAATAAACAGTCCCCTGCTTTCTTGATGACCCACTTTTGGTGCCACAATCCCCCTCCGTTTCCTTCTACTTCAACCTCCCCGGCCAGGAGTCAGGTTGAAGGCAAAGCTGGGAGACCTCTGAACTATGGGACAAATGCAGATCTTGAGGTCCCTCCAACCAACCCTTTGGACTCACCCCAGCCAAGCCCCTTTCATATCAGTTAGTCCTTTTGGTGGTGTCCCCCTACCCCGTCAGGGGGACTTCCTGGATCAGGGAGGGAAACTTTGGGCCTGGGGGTGATACCCGGACCTCTAGAGTTTCGCAGAAGGGCACACCCCTTCCCCAGATCTGACCCCCCTTTCGGTCAGCCTCCTCTTTGCTAGGTTCCAGGCTCTCATGCAGCATTTCTCTATTCTGAACGGCTGAGCTGTCTCATCTGTGGTTTTGCTATTGAGAGGAAAAGCTTTAAGCTAAACGTGTGTGTGTATCGGGGGGGGGGGGGTCTATTTTGACTCCACTCCCTTTGCCTTCTCCAGAATTGAATGTGGCCTCATGCTGAAAAATGCTGCCCTCTGGTGGCAAATGTCCTTCCTGCCCCACCTGCCCCACCTGCAAAAAAAAAACAAACCCCTATACAAAGCTAAGCAGTCCTCTGTAGTCCTTTCTGCAGTGCGAAGTGGCTGCACCCAGTGCTGGAATGTGGACTCCTGACAGTTTGATGGAGACGAGGACTGGCAGCAGGAAAAAGCTCAGATCCGCAGGTGGCATCTGCTTGGGTTGTGCTCCAGGGTGGCTTCCCCAGCTGAGGGGGTCCGTTTTCAGGTGCTGGAGTGAGCCAGGTCAATTTGCCGGAAAGTCACCAGGCCCTGTGGGCATCTGCCTCTGCCAGCTAGCATCACCGGGCCCCCACCAGCTAGCCTTGGATCCCGGAGAAGCTTTCCTTCAGCCCCCACCTCACTCCAGTGTTGCGGCCTGACCTCGTAGGATCGTGGCGATGAAAGGCCTTGGAGGCTGTCTCATTCCACTGGCTGCTGTGTGCAAGAAGACCAGAGCTCACACCACCTGCGCTGGTGGCTGGCCAGCATCTGCCTGAAGTCCGCCGGCGAGGCAGAGCCCTCCTGCCCGCCCACTCGATCGTTGGGCTCCTTCGCTGAACTGCTTCTCCCACCAAGAATGCTCTCCTTCCATTCAACTGCAGTCTCCCCTCCTGTAACATAAGCCCTGAGATCTGGTCTGCTTGCTGGTGCAGTGTGAGAGCCAGCCTTTGCAGCTTCATGAGACGCCCCTTCAGGGATTCGAAGCACAGGGTACGCGAAGGAACAAAGGAACAGGCGGCTGCCGGGAAATGGCTGTGTTAGCCGTGGCACCTGAGCTGCGCTGTCTACTGAAGCCCCCCTCACCTTGTCTTCAGGTGCTGTCTAAAGCAGCTTTCCTGAACCGCAGGAGAGAAGTCGCAGCTCAGTGTTAGAACTTGCAAGAGCAAACAGTAAACAGAGAGAGGAAGGAGAGAGAAGCCCCCTTCCCTTTTCTCGGCATGTTCACTGTACTGTGCGTGACTGGAACAGAATAGCCCAGGATGGTGACGCATAGGGAGACAAACTGAGCATCTTCTCCTGTACTGGAAAGTGATCCAGTGGCATAATGTGAAGAAAAGGTAAATTTACAAAGGGCTTGCAAGGCCAAGACCAGTCAGTTGCACAGAGGTGTTGTGGGGCAGCATGTCAGTGGGGTGGGGGTGGGGGTGCTTTGCTATTAATGTCTGTGTTAGGGTTAACAGACTATGGGAAGAGAGGCAGGGGCGGGAAGAGGGCAGCGTAAGCCCCCCGTAGTGGAAGCGTAGTGGCCGGATGCTGCTGCTCTCAGGGCACGCAGAAATGGTGCTTTCCCCTCTTGCACTCTTTTGATGCCAGCAATTGAGGGAGCGAGGAGGCAGACCTTCTGGAGGTAGTACCGAGTGACGAGTGACGTGCAGGGAGGATTAGCAGGACCACGGCCCCAGCAGCAGGAACTATGTGTGAAATGCTGCTTTAATCTCCTTGCGCACATGGTCTGGAGCTGCAAGACTCTTGCTCGCAGCGGCAGAAAGAACTATCTCCACCCCCCCCCCACATATGGGCATCCCCAGGAGTTGATAGGTGCCTTCAGCACCTGGAAGGGTGTCTGTGCTCAAGAACAGGACGGGTTGCATGGTTCATAGTTAAGCGTGTAGAAAGACTGGCAAAAATAAAAGGACCATGATGAGCAGAAGCCTGTTGGAGAGGCCTGTCTGGGCCAGCATCCTGCCTTCTTGCAGAGGGGCTGTAGCATGCAGGGGGTCTTGGGTTAGGTCCTCAGTGATTCCAGGAAGGGTGGGGAAAAACGGTTTGCAATGGTGCGCATTATGCACTCCGCACCTTCCCCTGGGTGTCTCAGGGACCAAAAATGTAGCCCAGCACTTTAAATCTGGCTTAATATCCCTTTCTGATTCTGTGCGATGCATATTTGAACGGCTAATTGTTTCTTTAATTGAAATGATCATTAAGGGCACAATCTTATACGTGTTCAGACAGAAAGGTCGTACAATGCCAAGCATGTGCTTAAAGATAATAAGCTGTCTATGATTTGATAGAGAGTGGGGAGAGCAAGAGATGGCAAAGGGACTTGAGGAATCCTGGCGGAAAAGGGCTTGGGATGAGAGGAAAAGGCACTGGCCCCCCCAACCCGCATGAGATTGTGCCCCCTCTCTGTGGTTCTGGCTTGGCTCTAATTCTGTGTGCTTCTCCCCATCCAACCCTTGACTTGATCTTGCAAGCTCCCCCATTTGTTTGATTCTGTTTGTAGTCAACGCAACATCGTTTGTGTTTAATTGCCAGGGCTGAAGTCTACTTGGAAAATAGTCCCCCTGATTTGGAAGCAGTAGCTTCTCTCTCTCTCTCTCTCTCTCTCTCTGGGGCCGGGATTGTTTGTTAGTTAGTTAGTTTGTTTGTTTCAGAGTGTGGTCTGGTTTTAAGGGTCTTCTGAGGAGATGAGTACATATTGCAAATTAGCTATCTGGAGGGATAGCTGTAGATGTTATAGCTTGCTTTTGGATGTCTTTTCCTGTATGTTTTATAGCAAAATTTACGCTCTGGGAGGAGCCAGTGTGTGTGGGAGGGGATAGCCTTTCTTTTTTAAAGAACAATTTTGGAAGCGTAAACGTCTGTGTACTTAGTAGCTGCTGTGGGCAGCATGCATGCCAGAACGCTAAAGTGTATGTGACAGACCATGGCAGGTGCTGTTGGAAAGCTGCTCTACAGGTGCTTAAATAGGCTGCCCGTTTGCACACATTTCAAAGGCTTGGGCCCGTGTGTGTTGGGGTTCAAAACCTTCTTCAGCCACTAGGCTAGTATCAACCCTTCAAATGTCTTGGCCTGCATTTCCCATCATCCCAGCCAAGGCTCCGATATGACTGATGAACACCAGGCTGGAAAAAGCTGGCTTAAAAGCGGCCAGCTTCTACTACTTGAATTCTGTTTGTTTTGCGCAGCGGTTTCTTGAATTTGAACCGAGCTCCCGTGCCTCAGTTTCTCCTCGATCAAGTCAAACCCCAGTCACCGGGCTGCCCTGAAGCTGCTCAACACTGGTCGTGGCGTGGCTTCAACCCCCGCTGTACTTTTTACGTGTGGTGGCCCAGTGAGGAGTCTTGTCCCCCCACTTTTGAAACGTCTGGTGTCCCGGCCACAGATGCTGAGCCTGATTGTCCCAGTCTAGTGGAAAGACCCAAATGGGGTTCGTAACCTGACGAGAAGAGCCACCGGGCAGAGGGCTTCTGTACCGCAATGACGCCGGGCAGCTCAGACCACCACTTCATAGAAGGCGGCCCGCATGCCCTTCGTTCCCAATGTGGTACACCAGCCCTGCTGCCCCCTGTGGCTTTTGTGCCCCCCCTTCTGCTGAGTGGGGTCCCAGACAGCAGCCCTGAAGTCCTACCCTGGTGGCACCTTTCACTGAGCTGTCTTCATTGAGTCCTGAAAGAGGAGGGGCATGAGTACTCATGCTCTCTCTCCCTCTTGCACCCCCCCCCATCACGGCTTTGGAGCTACAAATGGCGGGGAGGGGGCATTGGGGCTTTTTGTGGCTCTCAAGAGGAAGAGCGAAGCTTTTGGGCAAATTCGCGGGGAAAAGCCTATTCCAGCATCTAGCTGAATGGTGCTTCCCTGTCCAAGAGCAGATTATCTTGCAACACCGTCTGCTGAGCACAGCCAACATAGGCTGCCGGGCATCTCCACGGCCCTCTGGCCAGAGGGCTCCCCCAGAGCACCTTGCTGGCAGCGGTCTCCGTGTTGTTGGGGGAACAAGGTGCGGGGACGCCTCCGCTGCCCTTCGCAGCCGTGTCCGTGACCAGGCGGGGGTGGGGGTGGCGTCCGGAGTGCGTGGGGAGGATGCCTGCCCCAGCCCGGCAGCCCACCCTGCTGTGGGGTCTCTCTCCGGCCTGCCCCCAGAGCCGTCGCCTGCTCCAGCCGCCGGGCTCTCCCTCCCCTCCTTGGGGTGGGATTGAGCGGTCACATGAGCCCGCTGAAGTCCCGCTCGCCCTCTTTCTCTCTCCCAGCAGCTACTGTCTGCCGCTCTCCGGCTCGCAGCTCTGCCTGGGCACGGCAGCTCCGGCGGACTGCGATGAGGCACCTGTGATCTCCCCCAGGGAGCTCTGGGGAGGAGCGGCATGGGCTTAAAAAGGCCGAGTGGGGCGGGCGACTGCGGGCACGAGGCCCCGAGAGCCACGGCGTGCCCTTGTCACTGAGGGGCAATGCCCCTGCCCGGAGCTGTCACCAGCTCGCCGACGGCCGGGCATTTCGGCCGACTTTCCCCCCCTTCGCGGGGCATCCTGGGCTGAGGTTTCCCATTCCTGTCGAGCGAAGCGGAGCACCCAAGGAGCTCGCCGGCCGGCCGCCCAGCCAAGTTTGACAAAGTGCGCCCTCTGGTTCAGACGAGCCACCTCGAGGTGGAGGGGCACCCCCCGAAGCCCTTTGCCCGCCGGAAGCCGCCTTGGCAGCAGCACCATGGTTGCCCCCTGCTGTGCCCTTCCGCTCCTCCTGGCGACAACCTTGCAGCTCCAGTACTGCGCCGCAACGGTAGGTAGCTGGGCACGACGCTCGGGCCGGGTGGGAGTTGGCGCCGAGCAGCGGCTGCCTCGGGCAGGGGGGTGAGGGAGCAGAGTGAGGGAGAGCTGGCCACACATGGCTTTGCCCTGTGGGGAGGGGGCAGCTGGCTGGGGGGCGGTGTTGCTCGCCTGGGGTGGGCAGAAGCTCGATTTCAAGATTCGGGGGGACTTTCAGAATCCCCTGCCTGCATGAATTGCTGGCTGTTGCAATGCAATACATCTGAGGTTTATTTTCTGCCCCCCCCCCCCACCATGCTCTGATTCTCACCTCCTCCTCCATTCTCCATTTTGTCCTCACAACAACCCTGGAAGGTAGGTTATGCTGAGAGTAAGTGACTTTCTCAAAGTCATCCAGTGAACTTCATGGCTAGTGGGGACTAGAACCCGGGTCTCCCAAACCCCACCCAACACTTGAGCGACTGAACCATGAGGGGCTGCCTTTGTCAAAGACTTATAAGTGTGATGTGTGTTATTTTTATCATGTTTTAATGGCTTTATGCTTTGCTTTGGGGTGATGGTTATCACGTAAAGCAGGGAATCCATTGCATAAATAAATAGCCCAAAGGCAGAAGGCTGGGTGATCTTTTTGACCCACCAGCGTCTCGTGGGATGCAGCGAAGTGTGGTCTGGGGGAGCCTAGCATCCAGGGATGCTGGTGGGTCAGCAAGCCGGGGCACAGTTCGTTCTTCCTGGAGTGGGAGGACCGCACACCCCCAAATGTTGGGCCCAGGCGAGACCTTTAGGATGGGACTGCGGTAGCGCAAGTGCTGGCAGTGATCCAGCTGCTGAATGTATGATACGGCCTTTTTCTCTCCTGCCACAATAGCAATACATTTTCACTGAATCTTCCAGCTTCCAACTAACTTCCTGCAGTTCCCACTCAAGCAATCCCAAAGATGATTAGCAGCTCCCAGAAGTGTAGTGCTTGCTCCTCCACTGTGAAGAATTGTTGCCAGGTGCTCTCCATTGTTCTTGAGGCTTTGGGCTGGGGGGGCGGGGGTGTCACAATAGGTGTCCCCATCCACTCACGCTCATGCCGGCTCGTGCAAGGTCCCTGCTGTGGAGGAGGCACTGGGCTTGGGGCAGGGGACTGGAAAGCCCCTTCATGACCTCTGGATGCCCTTTACCACACGTTCTGTATTTACCTGTGGCACAGCGTTGGAAAGGGGGGCTGCTCCTGTTTCCTACTTCCAGTGCGAGCTGATGCCTCCTCAGGCCTGAATGCAAAGCCAAAAGGGTCAAAGGAAGCGCTGTGTGGTGCTCTGCATGTGCTCAGGTGCACTTTGCATCCCCTCTGTTTATAAAACCAAATTCTGGACCTGAACCCGGCATTAAATAACCATCCAGCCTTTTTCCAGGTTGCACCCGTGTGGCACAGTGGCTGCAGTGTTGGTCGGGGGATCTGGAGGCTCTGGGATCAGCTCCCCACTCAGCCATGGAGCTCATTGGGTGACTTTGGGCCAGTCCAGACTCCCTGCCTGACCTCCCTCACAGGGTTGTTGTTGTGAGGACAAAATAGAGAGGAGGGGAATCGTGTATGCTGCGTCGTGTTCCTTGCAAGGCGGGGTTGAAATGCAGTACAGTAATTAAAATCATTCCCTTCACATTCCTGGTCTTTATTTTAAGCTAATGTTCTACCTTCATTTTCTCTCTTACTCTTAAAAATCCCACTCCAGCAGTCGACGTGTTTTCTCCCCCTTCTGCATTTCCTTCCAGCTGCATTGTCAGGAATTAGCTGTCATAAAATAAGTAGTTACCGTCCTTGAACCTTCAGGCAGAGTGAGAGCAGCAAAAACCAGTGTTTGTCACATTTTCAAATGCTTGAAGCATTACATGCGGAATGAATGCCCCCCAACCCTGTGAGGGAGGCTGTCAGACTGTCTCCGTACTGCAGGACAGGCATTGTCACAGGCTGCAGAGTGGCGTCCCTGGCTCCGGATTCGTGTGACAGCGTGCCCAGACTTGGAGGCTAGGGCCGTCGGGGTGGGAGGGGGGGTGCATGCTGGCAAATCCAGGGCCGGCGGTTGTGGCCCTGCGGTTTGCAGCAGTGGCACTTCTTGACTGGCTGTCCCTTCCCACTTCCACCTCCCCCTTCCAGCCAAGCCCCCCGTGCGACCGCGGGTCGGTATTTTCCGTCTTCCTTGAACGTGGGCAACGTGGTGATGCTTGCTGGCAGCCGCTGATCCAACGTCATCGGCGGCAGAGCTTACGTTACCTCCGACACGGCCCCCATTAGCGGAGGCCGACCCGCCAGCGCCACCCCCTTCTCCTCAACTTCCCGGGTTCTTCTGCCCCCATGTGGGATCTTCCAGTGGTAGGCTGAGAGGCAGGACTTGCTCGCTGCTCGCGCAGTATGTGGTCTCCGTGTCCGAAACTCACTGCCATGTGACGTCGGGAAGGCTGCTGGCTCGGTCTGCTGTGGGTGGATCTGCTTGCTGGTAGATCAGGCATGCTAGTAGATCAGCAAGGAGTTGCCCGTCTGGCAAAACGGGAAGCTGTTTTTCAAGAAGTGCAGATCTCGTCAGAGTTCCTCACCTGTGAAGTCGGCTTTTGGCCAGGACGTTGTATCCCTCTGCTAGCTATGTTGAAAGTTGTGTGTTAGCATCTCTGTTTGGCAATAACTCAGACATAGGTTTGTGGTTGCACGTGCAACTCGTGTGCATGGCAGACAGTAAACTATAGAGCAGGCGACAACATGGAGCACCAGTCTGAACCAGGACCCTTCCTATGTGGTCAGCTGAGCAACCTGTAGGAGGAGGACTGGTCCAAACATAAGCAGATTTGGGGCCTTATCTCCAGCTTGTTTGGACTCCTGTGAGATTTCCAAGCAGTCCCTCATTAGTTCAGTGTGGTGTAAGCTGAAAATCTGGCCTTCACTTTCATTTTTATATAGAATAAGCTTCTCATACATGAGGTGGTAACGATTGTCTGAAGGTCATCTTCTTGAGACTCCCAGCTTCCTTATTGAAGAGCAAGTTTCTAGTCCATAAGGTGGCTAGTGCCTGGAGAAATTTAAAAACCGTGGGAGTTAGTGAGTAGAACTCTAGTGCGGGGGAAGGTGGCGCTGCAGAACTTCATACCAATTATAGAAACAGCATTAGTTACACTAAATACCCATTTTAAAATAAATGATGTGAAATAAGAGAACTTACATAAACAAGCTTGAATTGTCTTGTGTATGCTAGGCTTCCCCAAATCATCACCCTCTACTGCTATGTGTGGGTCGACTACTCCCATCGCCCGCAGCTAGGATAATGGGAATAGAAACCCAACATATTCAGTGGTCACGTGCAGGCCACTGTTAACGTGATGTGTGAAATGGAGTGTATTCATTTTAAAGGTGTTCTGGTATCATGTATTTGCATTATTCTGCTAATTACTTGAAGGGCAATTAGCCAGGAAGAAGGCCTAGCTCGGATGCTCCAGCCAACACAGGAGTTGTGGGACTATCTGCCTGTGTCGGCCTGCTCCCTGAATTGACAGGGCAAAGTCTGATTCAGAGTCATGGCGCCACCACCATCAAATAGACTCATCCTGAAATGTGGGGGATAAGTCATGGCTTTTGTCTTTTATCTTGGAAGAGGAGGAAAGAGGCCTTGTCTTCCTTAGAAGAGACTTATTTTGTCTGCCCTTATTTACCCAAAGTGTCTTTTTAACCTGCCCTTCACCCAAAAGTACTATGCTGCTCACCAAAGCAAAAAGAAGCTTGCGAGCAAACAATGCTTTGCAGATACATGGCAGTAACAACATCAGACTTGACAACTGACTCAGAGCAGGGGCCTCCGCAGGGCTGGCTCCAGGTTTCAGAGGGTCCCTGGGCAAGACTGCCTCCGTGGGCCCCCTCCGGCCTTCTCGCTTGCCACTCTGGAGCCTCCCCCTCTTTCTCCTCCTGGCTCCTGTTCATTTGCTGGCTTCCTTGGAGGCAGTGAGCCCCGAGCAAGTAGCAGGGGCGTCTTCTGCCTCTGCTCAGCACCACCATTGCCCGGGCTGGAGCGAGAGGCAGGTGGTGGGGAAGAGGAGGAGCATGTCCAAGAGGGTCTCACCCATGGAGCCCTGATGGTGTGCGAGAGACCCGGAACCCCCTGATCACACCGACAGCCAGCCCTGGGAGAGGTGCAGGGCAGAAATGCAGGGCAGACTGAGCTTAAAACATTGCAATGCACCACGGTTGCTGAACAGAGAACTTGGAGGAGGGAGCTTTGGGACAGACCCTTCAAAGCAAGTGTCTGGAGAGCAGTTCTGTTCCGTTCCTTTCCGATTCTGATTTCTGGCTTCTTTACAGCTTGCGATCCCTCCGACTGATATGCCGAAAGTATCTGGAGAAGGTAAGGCCTTGCCAGGCCTGGGGAATCGGGGGAGACAGTGGTTGGCGCTCACTGCTTGGTGCCGGGGGGCTCCAACACCCCTTTGAATCTGCTTTGGCTTCTGGGTTCCTGTATTTCAAACCTCCTTTTGTAAATCCAAGTAATCGCCAGTTATGTCTGGAATTCTCGTCTCCAGAGAAGAAAGCCAAAGGAAAGAGTCGTTGCAGCTTAGCGGTCGAGAGGCATGAACCGCTTCAGATTTTCATGCCGGTCACGCAGTCCCAGGTTCCCTGCCTCAGCTCCCTTCTCTGCAATATGGGGAAAATTTAGCACAGGCCAACCTTGTGGGGCTGTTGTGGGGGAACATGCATGTGACATGCACGTGTTTCTTCCCCGTTGCGTGCAAATACGCAAATATCGCCGGGTATTACTTACTAAGGCCAGCTTCTTAGCTCTCATCTCCATTTATAGTCAGTCTGTTTCTTGTGAGGAGCTCAAGTTGGCTCATATAGCCATCTCACCCTCCCAACAACCCTCTGAGGTAGGCTCAGCTGAGTGGCCTAAAGTCACCCGGCGAGCTTCATGGCCGAGTGGGGACTAGAACTCGGATCTCCCAGGTGCCCAGCCCAACCCTCTTAACACCATACCACACCGGCTCTTCATACATGCCCTCTGTATGTCATCAAATGCCTTTGAATCCCTGGGAGGAGGAGGCAGCTTTACCCTGGCACTCAAAGGATAACAGAGTGGGAAGGTCATTCCACAATCCGAGTTGGGGGCCACCACTGAACAGGCTCTTCCCTTTGTTCCTACCCTCTGGATCTCCCTTGGAAGTAGGAGGTGGAGGAAGGTCTCGGTTGTTGATCGCAGCACCTGGGTAAATCCAGGCTGAGAGAGGGGCTCTGCCAGGTAGCGTGATCCCAAACCAGATAAAAGGGTCACCGCTTGGGAACTTACCGAGGCATTTGGCTGTCCTTTGCCGGAAACGGGTACCGAGCTCGGTAGGGCAGCTCCCCCTGTTCCCAGGAGCACACTGACCGTGCGGATGCGCTTTCCCCGGCAGTGATCCGGTTCTTGGATGTGTACAACCGCAGCAGCTGCCAGCCCAAGGAAACCATGGTGCCCGTGACCACCGAGCACCCACACCTGGTCAGCCACCTGGCCGTGCCGTCGTGCGTGCTCCTGAGGCGTTGCGCTGGCTGCTGTTCGGACGACACGCTGGAATGTGTGCCCACCCAGACCCAGAAGCGGATCATGGAGGTAACGGAAAGCGTGCGAGGAGCGGGGCCCCCCTCGACCCAGGGCCCCCCAGGTGTGCTGCCCGGAGACTCTGGGCGTTCCCAGCCAGCCGGCTAAGGAAGAGGGGGGTGCATTTAATTTCATGCTGGAGCAATGAGCCCTGAAAGAGAGAAAGCGTGCAGTACAATATTGCAAGCAGTACCAGCGAAAACTGTGGTTGGCCAGCCAAGAAAGGCTTCCTGAAAGGAGTTAGTTTTCAGGAGCGGTTGGAACAGAGACAGGGCTGGTGCCCACCTGAGTGGCAAGTGAGGGGCTCCAGGTTGGGGATGGCTGAGGCAGGGTGACCGGAATGGCATTTCCTTGTTCAGGTGGAGTATACCTGTGAACAGGCCTTTGAGGGCTCCTGTGGGCACCTGGCTTTCTGTCTGCTGCTGTGTGAGCAGGACCCGGATCAGCAGTTCCCAAGTCAACCCCCACTCCAAATTGCAGCTGGACCAGAGCTCCCATCATCCCCAGCCAGCAGTGCTTGCTGGGCACTCAGTCATACCACACTGAGAGGCAGTTTGGTGTAGTGGTTAAGAGCACGGGACTGGGATACAAGCAATGTGGGTGTGGGTCCCCACTCAGCCATGGAGCCCACTGGGTGACTCTGGGCCAGTCCCAGCCTGGCCTCCCTCACAGGGTTGTTGAGAGGAGGCAGAGAATTATGGAAGCCACCTTGAGTTCCTTGAAAAGGAAAAGGCGGGATTTAAGTGTAAGAAATGCGTATCCAGCGAGACAGCTGTGTTCTTCCACTTATCCAGATGATGCTCATTCAGTTTTCGGAGAACCACCTACAACAATTGACTTTTGAGGAGCACACACAGTGCGCGTGCAGGTGAGACTTGGCAAGAGGGGGGGCTTCTCGGGGGAGTGTGATGGACGGTGGCCCCAGAATATTTTTTTCTTTTCTTTTCGATTCATTGTGGTCAAGCACACACCCAGCATCCCAGTCCCTTCAATACAAATTGGCCAGAGTGTGAGCTGAATTCCTACCCAACAATTGCCTGTCCTGCATTTGCAGAAGTCAGAGGGACTAGAAGCTTACTCTGTTAGAAAAAAACCTGACTTTGAGAGATAGGATCTGGAAGGAATGCTCCTAAAGAAGCTGCTCCAAGGTGATATTATGGAGCAGCCGGTGAGGGCTGGGGCTCTGGATCTTTCCTTTGGCCCTCCAAACGTCTGGGAGGCCGCCTGCCCCTGCGATCTGTGGGCGTTTGCTGGAATCAAAGGACAGGGCTCTGCCCAGCGTTTTGCCCGGATGTGTTTCTCCCACTGCTGCCCTTCCTCAGACCTTCCTGCCTGCCTGAAGTTTTTCTCTGAAACCAAATGCCCTCTTCTCCCCTGTCCTTTTTTACAAAGAGGGATACCCTTCGGGGTCCTTGAACATCACAAAAATGCATGCTTTAGTGCATATGTAAATTATCATATGTAGGAGTGTGTGTGTGTGTGTGTGTGTGTGAGAGAGAGAGAGAGAGAGAGAGAGAGAGAGAGACACTAATATTTCATTTCTTACACTTCCATACTGCCCAACAGTGAACTGTCTGAGCTGCTTACAAAGATTACGACCTTAAAAGTGCATTCTAAAAATCACGTACATACAAACATATCAACATGCAATGCGCACACGCACACACGCACACATAGAAACAATTTTGTACAATCAACAGGAAAATGCGATCTGATCAGAATCTCATTGTATGCTGCCAAATGCCTGACAGAAGAAGGTCTTAACTAGGTGCCAAAAAGATAGCAATATTGGTGCAAGAAAGGCCTTGTTGAGGAGATCATTCACGTACCTGGGGGGCTTGCTGCCTTCCAGGCCTCTCAGAGGAGAGCCTCAGACGGATGACAAACCTAAAGCGCACGGAGGTTCGTGCAAGGAGAGGCACTTCTTCAGGTAACCAAATAGCAATTTCAAAATACATTTATACATCTGACAACCAGCCACCACATAGATCGTAGGATATACATCCTAGGATAGGGGTGGGCTGAAGGTTATTCTCCAGATGCTTTGGACTTCAGCTTCCAGGAGCTGCTGCCAGCATGGCCACTGGTCAAGAATGCAAAGAGATTTCCACATCTGGAATTCTGCTTTCTGCCCACCCCTGCTTTACGCTGTCCAGCTGCTTGGAGAATTTCTGTGCCTTCCTGCCAAGGTCCCCACCCGAAAGCTAAGCTCTAGAAAGCCTGAACAGTAAAAAGCTGAGGACTTGCTTCCCCAGTGCAGAACTCCACAAAACTTTGAGAAATATCAGAAAACAAGGGGGAAGGTGCCCGAACACCTGTGCAGTCTTGGCACATAGGTAAGATTCTATTAACAAATTCCAGAAGCAATACCCTTTTAAAACAATGAAGCCAAATGTTAGGTACCGAAATAGATTTAATGGGAAAAGGTAGGGAGAGGATAGAAAAGGAAAACCTTAGGCACAGAGCATCACTCTCTCAAATACATTTTCAGATATTTACAATAAAAACCATCTGATTTAAGGTGCATGTTTAGGAAAAAAAAGGGGGTTTCAGGTGTTATGTTTTGTTTCTGAAGATACGTTGAAAAAGGACATTTTTGGTCAACTGGTTATTTATGAGGATCTGAGACAGTAAAAGCCACTTTTTAAATAGAGAATATTTCTGCCAGTGCTGAAAGCGGCTACATCTCTAGTGTAAATGGATCAGATACTTAATCAGAAACACACAAAGAGGCTGTTTCTACTTCCTCTCTATTCTGGACTTAATTAAAATATAACTAGTTCCTTCTAGCTGAAGTACTGTAAAAAAAAACCAAAGCAAAACAAATGATTTGTATTTCGAAATAAAGCTTTCAACATTTCTACAGGGGGTGTTGAAACAAAGACGCTGGAAGGAAGGCACTGTGGGTCAGTGCAAGTATAGAGCTGGTCACAACACGTGTTTGCACTACAAATGTGTTCCCGTTTCATGCCAGTTGAGCTCTTCTGGCTTCCCCACAAACCCTTCCAGGAGTTTTTAGCTCAGCTGCATATTCTCCATCAGAAAATCCTCCCCTGGCCTACCCTGCTCAGGGTTTCCTAGAAGAGGACATGGTTTGTCGACCCGTTTTACAGCTGGTGTGCATAGCCGGTTGTAAAGCTCTTTGTGGACGAATAACGTCTGAGAAGAAGAATCACAATCATGGTCTCAACCCTAGTTTAAACCTGGTTGAATCTTCCCCACCTTCAAACAAACCACACAGTATTAATCCTGTTATTCTCCCTTGTGCTTTTCAGATCAAAGACAACAGTTTTGAAATCTAATATGATCAGGTAAGAGAATTCTCTGCCCAGCTTGTTTTAACAAGTTCTTTCAGGAGAACTATAAAGCCTGTGGTCCTTCTAGCTGGCATTTCCATCCATTGCCTGTTCTGAGTGTACAATGCATTTCACATAATTGTGGCAGTCCATCATCATCACAACAAAGCTGTGACACTGTTTCTACAAGGGAGGGAGAGGGAGGAGAGCTGGGGCCCACCTTGTTCTTGCTCCCTGATCTGAGCGTACGGTATCCATGGAGTCATAGAATAGTAGAGTTGGAAGGGGCCAGAAGGCAAGGGATGGGTTTATTCCATCCGAAGACGGAATCCCTGGCTATACAGATGAGTTTAGACTGTGAGTAGTATTTCCCTGTGGTTTGCCCACCATGAGGCCAAATGGAGCTGTGCAAGGAATGGGGAGGGATTCAGACCAGGAAAAGAGTGCAAAGGCTTAGCTTCCACCCAGGATTTCTGCAGCCAAGGTCTCCCAGTGTTAGGAAACATTCCCAGAAGTGTTAAAAGATGGCCCACTAGTGCTTCAACCCCAGGTCTCTATTTAAGTTATCATAGCTATTTCTGCATTTACACCCCTACAGATAAGACAGTATAAACCAAATGTATGCAAATAACTTTCCCCATCTGCTGTTCCTTTTGGCAGTTATAAGCAGCCACCGCTTAACGTTTCTTGAAAGCCATGTGAATTCAGGTCGTTCTCTCACCCACATGCACTCGCATGCTGCTAAAGCAAGGGAAGCTAAAGGACAACTGGGAGATAGATGGCAACCTGGGTCAACTGCCCAGGTGTTTGCCTAGCGCCTGTAGTGATGGAGAAAGAGGAAGGAAAGTCGCGTCATCTGCGCTCCACTCTCCCAACAGCCGTTCCTGTGCTCCTTGTCGGAACAAGAAAAAGCAGCTTGACCTACAAACGTGCAAATGCGTGTGCCGGCGTGACTCTGGACATTGTGCGGCCCGTGGTCTGGTCTTCAGTGAAGCCACCTGCAGGTGCAGTTGCCGTACGCCTACCTTTACCCCCGTAGCTCCCCACTAATGCTTTCGCACTCCTCCTGGAGAATCTCAGCCAGACCGACCCTGTACCACATGCTCCATCATCCCTTCAGCCACTGCTGTGCTGCCTGGGAGTGCTGGTTGATGTAATCTAGCAGGGGAGAGAAAGGTGCAGTGGTTAGAGTGCAGGACCGCAGAACTCAGGGGATCTGTGATCTAGCCCCTCTGACCCCCTTTCTCTCCCCACTCCAAGCATGGCTGTTTCCTCCCCTTTAGGTTGCTTCTCTTCCTGCCCTCTGAGCAGCTTCAGAAACAGAACCCGGCACTTTTCAATCTTTAAAAATGTATTTGCTCTTGAGGGGGCAAGGAGTGAAGAACCGTGTGGGCGCCCTTAGAGGTGTCCGTGAGTGCCCCACTGGGGACTCTGATCTGCAAGCTGCACATGTAACGGACCAGCCTAGCTGGTGGGTACTAGCTGGAGAAATCTGATTTAGAAGATACGAACCAAGAGATGGCTCTTAATGCTTGCTTAAGTTCAGAAGCCCGCTGGATCCACAGGACTAGCAGGGAAATAGTCAGGATGGCTGTGGCAGAAAATGCCACCGGCAGGGAGATCATTCCTTTCACTCAGTTCTGTACCATCCCAATAGCCAGAGCTTCACAAAAACTAAAACCTGCAAAATACATGAGGCCCGAAAGCAAGAGGCCAGAAGACGGCAGGGTCAAGGCCACTGTGAGCGTTGACGGTAAAGGCTTCAGGGAAGGGCCGCAGAGCCGCGCCAGATGCTTGGAGTGCAGGTTCAAATCCCTGGCAACTCCAGATACGCCTGAGAAAGTTTCAGCCCCTGGGGTCCAGCCGAGGCACCTTGCTGTAGCTTCAAGGGTACTTAGGAAAGAAACGAAACTAAGTAAAAAAGAATATAAAGGTTATGGAACACAGTGATGACAAATGGCTGCGGAATAGGAACAAGCAATGGAAGGCGCATGTTTTTCTTCTCTCTCGGTTCCTTGGTTCCCTAAACAAGTCAGGGAAAAGCCTCCAAAGCTGCCTGGGTGAGCAACAGGGCAGTCAGTCTCTCCAGGCTGGGAACAAAATTCTAAACCTCTGGCTACGGATTTTGTAAATGTCCTCCCTCCCGCTTTGGCAGAGCGTGTAAGGATGCACCCGGGCTGTCATGCCCCATTCTGATTGCAAAGCTGCTTCCCTAGGACAAACGACTTTGTTCCCGCAGCAGAAGCAGCTCTTCTCTAAGAAATGTCAGGGAAAGCAGCTTCAAAGCTATTGCGCTTCTAACAAGCTGGAGGCCTTGGCACACCTTCAAAAAACAGCCCTGGTTCTTGCACACTGGGAAGGCTTGCTACCTTATCTGTGGAACCGCAGCAGTCTGCTTGCCATTCTCCCGGTGTTGCTCCTACAAACCTTGGAGCAGGGGTGCCCAGCCATGCTGAGCCAGACAGGCTGATGGCCTGAGTCAATATTTATTTATTTAGGAAGCTTTTATGCCGCCCCCTTCACCAAAGCCTCGGGGCGGCTCACAACAATAAATAACAACAATATAAAATACAAAGGCAGCCTCCTCAGTTTCCGGATGTTACAAACCAACGAAACCAAACAGTGGCACCCAGGACAAAACAAGTGGGAGAGTTTGCAACCCCGCCAGTGATGCGATGCCCACAGAAACGGGGTTCACCGTGATGCTAATGGTGCTTCGATGGATGGCTACAGGGTTGCTACCCTGAACGGATGTCACCCCAGGGGGTTCATGACCGAATGCAGTGGCGGAGCTTTACAGTTCCCTATATGAGCCTCACTGCTGGCTGCACAAACCTGTTCTGACAGGTGTTCCTCTTGGAGCTCAGCTGCAGATGTTCCAGTGATCCTAACATCTGGAGGAAAAGCATAATTTCCCTTTCGTTGGAGTGCCATCTCCTGACTAATAGGAAATAGACAGTCACTTGCTCTCTTCTTTTGTACTGAAGGCAGGGCGGAGGGACCCCTGGCCCTCCAAATGTTGTCAGACTCAAACTGTCAGTCAGTCAGTCAGTCCCAAACAGCTCAGTTCCAGGATGTGCATTTGAAAAATAACATTTTCTGGCATGCGGATCCACCCCTGGATTTTGTTTCACCTGGCCGTTTTCAAAGTGCCTTCCTGTCTCCATCCCTTCTAATCTCTTTGCAGATGCATGAAGCGGCCCGGGCGATTGTCCCACAGGAGAGCAAGACTGGCGCGGTAGCTGAATTGGAACCCTGGATGGAAAGGACGCTGATTTCAGGCTCCTCTTCAGCTGGTGACAGGCTCACTCAGCTGGAAACGGAATGGGCAATGTGTCCAGGAGGCTCCCGCTGGCTGTCAGGGAAGCAGGAATGCGTGACATAACACCCTTGATCCGGGCCAGGCTGGACTTCCTCTCTTCACAGTGTGCCGAGGCTGCATCTGGCAGAACTGCGCCACACTCCTGTGGGCGATGGGAAGGCCCCCCCCCCCCCAGCCTTGAGGCGTTGAGAAAAGTGCTGCCCATATTTAAGCCCCTCGGAGGGGCCTGTACTCCTCTCCCCTGCCTCCATTAATTTAATGGCCTCTCTCCACTGAGGGATGCCAGCCTCATTTTCACACCCACCAGTAACTCGGGGTGGAGGTCTTCTGCGTTGTTTTCAAACTCATTTCCTTCCTCCATTTGCATTGGTGGTGGTGGTACTAACACTTCAGGATCCCTCCCCCTTCCAAGTGGAAGGAGATACTGAAATAGCACTTTTCTAAACTTTGGGAATGGCGAGAATGTTCTTCCTGCTTGTAATTCTTCCTGTCTTGCAGTTCCTATAAGAGACATTCCTACTGACATTCATAACCATAAAGTTGTGCTTCTTAAGGCTCAGTGCAAGGTAACGCGTCTCTCTGCACACCATCCTTGGATTTATCGTCCTTCCGCGTAGCATCGGTGGTAGCGTGAGCAGGATCTGGGCCACATCACAGCTGCAGAAAACCAGTCTCTGCCTCCTGAGAGCTTACTGTCTACATTTAGGCCAGGGGTGGAGCAGAGAGACATCATCAGGTGGCAGGGACAGAAGCTGAGCCACTCTGTCCCACCTCATTCCAAAGGGAATTATCTGCAAGGGAAAATCCATTGTTTTGTCCAGCAAGACCAGTAGCAACAGAGATAAAAGGAAAAAAGGGTGCGAGGCGTGAATCAGAGGGCTCTCATCCCGGCATTCCAGAGGTGTGAAGCCCACTAGGAGAATGCAAAGTCAAGAGCTTTCCCCTGCTCCGCCTTACTACTCAGCTTCTATATCTGAAGCCTTTCACATCTGTCCAGGTGTATAGGATGACACACCTGGAAGGCAACAGGCAGTGTTGCAGCTAGTTCACTGGAGACCCTCATCTCACGGAGACTCCCCGTAGACAGCCCCGTGCCCTGCTTCGGCTGTGAGCAGAGCCCGTGTTCCTCTCTCCCCCTTCCAGCCACACACTTTACAACTGGTTCTGCACTCGTAGTAGTTTCAGGCTCTTTGCCCACGTTGATGCACGAAGGAAAAAGAATCAAACATTTCTGGGCAGGGGCAGTTTTCGCACTGTCAACTCACTCAAGTCACCCCGCTTTCTGCCTCCATCATGACTACCAGAATAAACAAGGATTGCCTCCTGAGTTTTCCTCCTTTCCGGTCAGGTACCGCTGCTTCCGGGAAGCCATTGACAGGTTGGGGAGGAACTGGACTTGGGTGCCGCCCAAACTTTGCCTCAAGGTGACAGTGCTTTGCATAATCTTTGCATGTCAGTTTATACGGAGAGATGGAAATGCAGAAATGCCTACTATGATTTCGGTAGAAATACGTACAACCCATCTTTCCAAGCTGGAGAAAGCTTGAAACCAGATGACCTCCATGCCTACCTGTTCCGCCAATTGTACATGGATGGAGAGCGATTCATACAGTTCCTTCCCTTTAAACCAGAAGGGAAGGGGACGTGGGGGCACCTCTGTAAGAGCCCCTGTGGCTGCTCTGGGTACCATTGTCACTGCTGAGCACTTAAAGGGCCTCTGGCCCTTCCCTGGGGCATGTGATCCCCACCCCCATTTCCCTCTTCAAGGCCCCGTGAGTTGTGGAGTTTTCCTTTCTTTCCCAGGCTGCCTGAATGGGCCCAGCCGCAGCCGTGTTGGCACAGCCAGCCGGAGACGTGTTGCTCTGCATGGATTCCCAGGCTGCGCTTGTGTCGTGTGTGTGTGTGTGTGAGAGAGAGAGAGACACAGAGAGAAGGCATCCAGGCCCAGCACAAGAGCAGCCTGGGCCCTGCGTTTCAGACAGAGCGGAGCTGGGGTGCAAAGACTCCCCTTTCTGGCAGCTGGATATTCTCCCTCGAGGCCTTGAACCCTGGCCTCCGTGACACCTCTCTGACAACTTGTTGGTATGGCGAAGACGTGCTCTGCTTGTGCTCGGGGGCATCTGTGTGTGCATGTTGCTTCATGCACATGTCGGGCTGAGCCTCGGCTTCCAACCTAGGCGCTGGTGCTGGGCATTTCCCGCCTGAGATCGGGCCCTATTCTGGGAACACAGAAGCCACGTCCCAGCTGCGTTTTGGCTAACTCCCAGCTCCCCTTTAAGCATCGAGGAGAAGGGTAACCCAGCTGTTCCCGTGCTGCACACTGCTGCACCTCCCCCAAGATTCGGGGGGGGGGGAAGAGCTGGCTTCCCCTACCTCCTGGGATTAGAGCCAGCTCCGGGTTTCAGAGGCTCAGGGCACGTCCACAGAGCCGTCTTTGCTGCTGCTCATCACCACCGTGGCTTGGGCCAGAGCGAGGGGCAAGGGAGCATTCAGGCTGGCATGATGACAAGCAGCCAGTGCAGGGGCTTTGGGCGTTGGGCGCCTGCTGGCGGGGGCTCGGCAGGTGCCTGGTATGCCTGCCCCGTCTAGCCACAAGTAGAGAAGAGTAGAATTGCAAGGGGCCAACTCCCATCCCATCCCATCCCATCCTTCTAGGGGACCCAAGAGTCCTGTCTCCCTTGCTCTTTAATCGTAGCACCAAATTTCTCTCCCAGAGCTGGGAGACAGCTTGAGGACCAAAGCTCCCCCTGAGTCATGCCTCCCGCTCACTTCCGGTGGCGGCCAACTGCCTGCTTTGGGAAGCCTTTAGCCAGTCTGTGAAGGCAACAGCCCCAGCGGCTAGCTACCATGATTTTTGCTTTTGTTGGCAGGGGAGGAAACGGGACACTGCCCCATGTACAGGGATGAGCCCCTTGTGGTGGCACCGGTAAGGCATTTCCCACAATGCCCCAAAGAATCTCACCCTGGGGGCTTGTGGGCAATTAAAATGAGCTCAGAGACCTAGAAGCCCAGTGTGGCAGGCCCAGAGCAAGAAAGCCAAGCAATCGGGGGTAATATATGCATTTCGGACCATTCTTCCATGCTGGGTGTTGAACCCTTTCCAGCCTGAGCGCTGAATTCCATTTCAGCAAAGCCTTGAGGGAAAGCGCAGCTTGAACGCCAAAGCAACCTGATCAAAAAAGTCACCTTTTCACTTAAAGCGCTTCTTGCTGAGAACTAAACCTTAAGCCATTTTGTCCTCCTAGGATGAGAGGAAAATCTGCAGAATAGCTGGGAGAAAAACTCATCAAAATTAGACATATATGGCTAAGTCACATCCCAGCCCTCATTCAAGGCAGGCACCCCTGCCTTTGAAATGACTGTATTCCAAATAACTGGCTGGCCTTCATAAGGATTTTGTGTGTGTGATCTTGTTTTTTTTATTATTTAGACACACTTCCGAATGTTTACATATTTTGCTAAATGCTGTCTTTTTTTTAAGGGCTTTCTTTACCATATATGTCTAATATATTTTGTTGTCTCTTTGGAAAGAGGCCTTTTTGCATCCATTTCTGTGTTCACAGCCACTGTTCTGACATAAAATATTTGCTGATTCCGTGTAGTTCACCCTTCCCCTTCTTTGGCCAGTTGGTGTGTGTGTGCACCGAGGAGGGGCGCATTCCCCCTTATCCAGCCCCCTGCTGCGCTCTTGGTGTGATCACAGCTCCTCCATCAGGCTAGGGGAAGCTAGGTTTGGGGGGGGGACCCTACTGTATGTTCCCCCCACCCAAGGTAATTTGACCAGGAAAGATGCACAGAGTGAATATTTGGTGTTTCGTTAATTCTCTGTACAGATAAGGTTCAGGTTGCCAAACAGCGCGAAAACATGCACTTGATTTTCATGGGTACCAAATGGACAAGGTGGCGCTATCAGGTGTGTGGGCCTTGTGCGGCCGTTGGGAGTTTACTCCCAGCTTCACCATACTATGGAGGCAGCCCTGCCGTGGTAGCAACACAGAACCTCCATGTTCAGAGACAGTATACCTTAAGACTTCCAGTGGCAAGGAGCAAATGGCAGCTTGTCCTTTCGTGCTTGGATCATGGTCTTCCCAGAAGCGTCCACAGGCCAGAATACCTGCAGATTGCAGGAGAAAAGAGGCCAGGCCTGTGGGTCTTGTCATGCGGGATGCTTCCTCTGGAAATAAGGAGCATCCCTCGGGCTGATCGCGGTTTCCTTGCTCTCTGCACAAAGGAGGCACATGAGGGAGCTTGCCAGATCTTTAGCAGGAGCGGGAGCTGAGGCTGCTCTTCCGGGTTTGCTGGTGGACTTTAGCCCCCTAACCTTGGCTAAGTCAATATTTAGAGAGCCCTGTTGGAGCCCTGGATGAGCCTGTGTGGGGTGAAGAACAGCTAGTCAAGCTTCCCCCTCTCCAGGCCTGCTTTTCAAGGTCGCTTCTCCCTGGATGTTGGGCTTGGAGGGGGGGGATGCAAAAGCAGGAAAAATACTGGCGGAGCGGCGGTGAATAAGGCCCCCTCTGTCTCTCATGGGACAGATGCATCACGCCTCTGTGGCTAGAGCTGCTTTGGACAGCAACCTTTCCCAAGCCAGGGCCCGCCGGAGGGGTTGGATTACAATTCCATCTTCCCCAACCCAGCTTGATAACATAGGAGGCTGGCTTCTGCAAGATCAGACTTCTGCGCCATCTGGACCTGCATTGGCGACCCCAGAGGAGGCCGTGGCAGGGGAACCTCCTCTATCCTTGATCCTTTTATCTGGGGGACATCACTGGGATGAGACTGGAAAATTTCTTCATTGCAGAACCAGGGGGGGGGGTCCTGGCACCTTTTAACAGGGGTGCCCAAGACCCCCACAGAAAGCCCTGAATCCAGAGGCATCATGCAGGGTTTCCCAGGGAAGGCAGAAAAACCAAGCAAGTGAGCCGTTAAGCCGTAAAGGAGGCAGCGGGAGGAAAAAGCAAACCACCATCAAACACCCAAGCGCTACCAGGCCAACCAGACTGGCAGTCCTGGTTCAAACCGCCTCCACCACCTCCTCCATCACTTGAGCCAAAAATGGAGGGAAGGGGAAGCGGCAGAGAGAAACCGGTGGGGTATTGTGAGGGATCGGCATCAGGTCTGTCTGTTTCTGTGGGATGAGAGAATGAGCAATCTTTGAAATCGGGGAGGGTCTCCGTCTTCCACATCAGTGCTCACCTCGTCCTCATTCTTGCTTCTGAATGCAAGGGTTTCTTCCCCCGCCCCCTCCAAAAGGAAAAGTGCATTTTTGAACACAGAAAATGCACACTTATCCAAGCACACACTCTAAATGTGCCCTCCACCATATACTAGAGCCAATGACAATTGGGTTTGGAAGAGAGATGCGCATTTTGGAATATGGAATGCCAGCTAGAGGAGTCACAAAGGTTTCCCAAGAATCATGTTCCTGCTTCAAACGGCACCAAACGCTTTCCAGGACCATCCCAAGCAAATTTCCCCTCCCAACATGGGATGGGATAATGGTGCCCCCTACAGGACACGATGGGCACAGCTGGGAGGGTGTTCGGATGCTAAGTGCCCTCAAAAGGTGGGAATCCCTCGAGGATACATGTGGATGAAATGGAACCGGTGGTGGAAGGTATACTCCGTGTTTTTGTATTCCATAAAGCCATAATTAGCAAAGGCTTCAAAAATAAATTGCAGTAGGATTCTATTTTTCAGCAGTAGGATTCTATTGTGCCCACTTCACAGTGGGGAACTCAGAGGAAGAGAAAAACTCCATGTTCCAAGACCAGTCAAGGGAATCCAGAAATAAAACATTTAGAAGCTGTCCCTCCCTAGCTTCATTAGTCTTCAAAAGCTGACCTCCAAGGTCACATAATCCGATGTGGTATTTTGACCCTTCCACCCACATAGAATGTCGACAATTTATGACAAGCTCCCCTTCACACGGCCTCTTTGACCTTAAAATTACGTCCACACAATATCCCTTTGTGATCTGATACTGTAACAGCACCCCCTCTCCTTTTCCCAAGGACGTTCCAATCTGGACGATTTCACCTATTTTTTCTGTGTTTCCCACTTTCTGCCCACCCTGTAGCTCCATCGCCTTTCGTCCCAAGAAGGCTGATGTTAGAGGGAGTCAGGAGCAGAATTCTCTCACAGTCTGGGGATCCCTAACAGTGTACCCCAGCAGAGTGTGGGGGGAGAATCCTTCGCATGCCCCCAGGTTCTGGGATGCAGCTTGCTGCATTTGGACAAAGAGGTTCGAACACAAGAGGAGCCCTATTAGATCTAGCTATGGTCCGACAGGAGCTATCCGGTAGTTCACAAGAAACTGTCTGTAAGCAGGACTGCTGAATGGACAGGCTTACCTCCTTCCCCTAATTTGTCAATCCCCGTTTAAAGTCATCCAGATGGGAAGCCACCACTCCATTCTGTGGACGTGCATTTCATAATGTGACAACATGCAGTGTCAAGGAGTCGTTTCTTTTATGGGTCCTGAACTTCCCAGCACTGAGCTTCATAGGGCTGACCCCTTGCGGTGCTAAGCTTATGGGGTGGGGGATGACTTCTGTCCACTTGCTTCTCACCATACATAATTTGCTACAGTTCAAGCAGGCCTCGTCTTGCTTGCCTCTTTGCGAAGTTAATCCCTGGCGTGTCCTTTCCTTTTAGGTGCGGCGACCCAAGCACTACAATGTACTCTAGGTATGGGTGCACCATTGATTTGTATAAGGGCAGTATGATATTTTATTTATTTAGTTATTTATCTTTCGGTCTTTTTCCTACAAAGGGCTCAAGGCAGCTTACATCATTCTCCTCCTCCATCTTATCCCCACAACAGCAACCCTGTGAGGGAGGCTGGGCTGAGAGTCTGTGACTGGCCCAGAGTCACCCAGTCGGCTCCATGGCCGAGCGGGGACTCGAACCCGGATCGCCTGAGTCCCAGTCCCACGCTCTTAACCACGACACCACACTGGATATGTGTAATTTTATTTCCAGATCCTTTCCTGAAGATGCTAAACATGGACCTTTCCTTTTCCAGAGCAGCCACACTGGGTTGGCATTTTCATTGGACTTGCCACCACAACACCAGAACACTTTCTTGGTCCGTGATGGCTAGCTGAGACCCCCTTGGCTTCGATCTGAAGTTAGAATCTTAGCACCATTAGGAGTGTGTTGTAATGTAGTCCCAACAATTTTTATTCTAAAAGCCCCTAAACAAATAGCTAACTAGCTTGGCTGAAAGGCGGGTTGGCCTGAAAGAGTTTTAACTGTAATACATTTTACAATTATTTTTCATATTCATTAAAATTCACCTTTTTAATATTTTAATATTATTTTTAATATTCATTAAAAGTCTCATGGGAGATATGTGACAAAGGCATGGCCGTTTCCAGAGAGCTCCGATTTCCATACTGTTTTGTTTTTAGATTAGATTCGTTAGGATTTAGTTGTATGCATAATTAGTAAGAAAATAGTTCTTTAACTCCCAGCATACCCTAGCAAGCCTTGCTGACCTAAGACAGACGTGTGAACTACAACTCCCATAATTCCTTGCCAATGGCCATGCTGGCCGGGACGTGCTGGGAATGGTAAGTTTTTCTTTTTCCTTTTTTTTTTTTCTTCTTTGCAAAATCTAAATAAGATTGCACCCTTATTCTATTCAAAATATGTCTTGGCTGCCTTTCAGGCCATAATCCCTTCCCAGGAGGCATACAAAGTTTATGATCTTACGGTATTTCTCTTTGCATTATTGGGCTAATTATGGTCTATATTGATTTTCATATTGATCATAGGTTTTGTATTGCTTTTAAACTGCTTTCGAAGCAGGAAATGCACATCATCATCATCATCATCATCAATTTAATAGAATAATAGAAACTGCCTTCCCCCCCTTTGCCACCAGGGGGAGAGTTCACATTTGGTCACGCCTCCACCTCGGGCCGGAAGTGACGTCTCTCCTTTATCCTATATAGGCGGCATATCGCAATAATTTTAGATTTAAAAACGATGGGTATTTGTCTCCGCACTCTCTTTATAGCTTTTAGAAAAAGCTTCTGTCTCAACGCTGACCGTAATGAAAAATAAAGTAGAATGGGGCGGGACAGAAATCAAATAAATAAATAGTGTCGCGGTGAGACTCAAGTCACGTGCCGCGAGCCGCACCCCGACCACGTGATGGGGACCCAACGGCCTCAGAAACATGGCGGATCCCACAGCGGTTTTCTTCGCTCCTGGCGAAGCCGTGTTGCGGAGAGCGCATGCGCAGAGGGGAGGGTGGTATCCGGTGAGGAAGGAGAGGTGAGAGAGAGGAGGGGGGATGGGGGGTCCTGAGGAAAGGGGGGGGAATGGGGGGGGGGGGCCTAGGAGACTGGGGCCTGTGGGGGGGCGGCCGCGGCCGCCGCCCCCGGGGGGACTGGATGGGGGACGGCCTCAGGAGGGGGGTTGGGAAGGGGGGGGGGGCTGCCACAGCCCCTCGGGGACCCAGGCGTCCGGGCCCCCCGAGTGGGGGTCGTATGGGAAGGAGGCCAGGCTTCCGGGGCCGGAGGCAGCCATGGGACTGAGGAAGCTGGAGCTGAGGGACGTGGGGACCCAGGTGTCTTGGGGTCCGGGCGGGAGGACCCTTGAGAATGGGGGGACCCAGGCGTCCGAGGCCCCGCACGTGAGCGAGAACCCGGGGGGCCAGCGGCCCGCGCGGAAAGCGCGCGAGGAGCAGGTGCAGACCGAGGGCGTCCAGGTGGCCGTGGGCGGCTGGGGGGTCTTTGAGGACCCGGGCTTGTGGGGGGCGAGCCGGAGCCGGGCGGCGAGGCGGGAGAAGGGGGCCTCCTGGTATGGGGGGCTCTGCGAGTCCTGCGGGGTTGTGGCCGCCGCAGCCAAAGAAGGCGACCCCAAAGAGGTCGGGACCCAGATGTCCGGCCGGGAGGCTCTGGAGGTGGGCGCAGGGCTTGCCGGCATGGTCGGAGGGCGAGCGGGCGAGGCGTCGGGGGGCCCTGCGCGCGGGGTCAGTCGGAGCCACTCCGGGGGCATCCCGGCGCACGCGGGGCCCAAGAGGGACGCGACCAAGGGGGCTGCCCTCTGGGCCCAGAAGGAGTGGTGCCGCCGCGACCCCGCGGAGGCGTCCGGGCAAGTCTGGGTGCCCCGCGAGCCGTCCAAGGGCTCGGAGAGGATGGGCTTCCCGTGGCTGCAGGGGGCAGGGTGCCAGCAGAGGAAGCCGCCGGGCTGGGAGCCAGAATCCAAGGGGGTGCGATGTTCCCCGGAGCTTAGCCAGGTGTGGATTCCCAGGGAGAAGCCGGCCCCTGCCGGAGGGGGCCCTGGGGATGTCTGGGTGCACAAGGTGAAGGACCCCTCCGGGGCTGGGATCATGTGGGTCTGGGCCAAGGTGACCAATTGCAATGAAGAGGAAGATGTGGAGGAAGCCAGGGTGTGGACCTTCCGCAAGGAGGGCCACAGGAAGGGTGGGCGAGGAGAGGGTGGGTACGGGGTGTCTTAGGGGGATGTTATCAGGGTGGGCTGTGGGTTGGGGGAGGGAGGTATGGCAGTCTTGCACCTGGGGGGAGGGGGGAGGAAAAGTTAGGCTCATATGTGGGGAGAAAGGGGTAGGGGTAAAGCAGAGCTCAGGTGGGGAAGAACCTATATAGAGGGCTGGGTGGAGGGAGTGAGGCGCAAAGAGACCTTACTGCATTATTCCTGGGGTGGCGACAGCCCAGTATCCTTGAGAGAATCTGGACTGGGGTGGCTGCTGCTGCCACCAGGGGAGGGGACAGAATCCAAGGCACCTCCGGCTACAGGGGTAAGTCGGGGTCTGGCAGCTCCCCGTGGGGCTCCCAGACCACTGTTGCATGCCAGGGTAGGCGCTGGGGACATGGGGGTTGGGATGGTCGTGCTGATCTGAATGGGCATTAATTGCCATGGGGTGGAGACGGAGGGGATTTCTCTTTCTGTTTGTGCTTGAGTGCTGTGTCCGAGAGGTGGCAGTGCAATGGAGTGAGTGAGCTGGGGCCCTTTCCCGCACAGTTGCTTCTCCCACATGCGGCATCTCTCCCCGTATGCCCTGCAGTTGCCCCAGCTAGCTCAGGATGCACAGCAGCTCTCCCAGGTCCTCAAACACCCAGGTTATTCTGCCTGAGGGCAGGCTGGGTTCAGACAGCAAGATGCAAGGGCTTTACGTGGGTGTGGAGTGTGGGTGGTTCTTGAAGCATAGGTTGTTCTGTTGTCTGTTCCCCAAGATAAGAAACCAGGATGAACAGCCCTCTGTTTGCAAAACCCAACAACTAGCTGTGCATTCTCTTCATGAGTTCTTCATCGTTTACAAGCTGTGGCTTGTTAGCACAGCTGGATTCAGATAACACAACAACCCGCTGTTCCCCCAACTCGACCCTTCAGTGTGAGTTACCTTGTTGTCTGAACCCAGGCTCTGAGTTCTGCATTCAAGCATGTGCTCTATCCTTGAGCTTCCCCCACCATCTTTGTCCCTCACCTTTTTATAGTTAATGATGGGGCTGAAGGACAAATAAGGCACATTTTAACAGCCAGTGTCAAATGTGCAGGAGCTGAACAGAGAACAAAATTCACATTATTTTGTGCTACCGTCGGTGTTGTAGGAGATTGGGAGCCTAGGCATCTGGGAGCTCATACTTTGGAAATCAAATGGATCATTTCCCTAGAAATGTAATCCCTCCATCCCCAATTTGCTGGACACCTCTGTTCCTGAGAACGTATAGAATCTTAAAGATGCACTGAGTTATTACTGATTGCCACAGAAGCCTCGTTTACAGAGAATTACTGCTGCTCACACTAGAGGCAGGTGGGTGTGGCATTCCTGAGAGTGAGAACGTGCCCAGTGCTGGTTGGAGGGATTCCACTGACATGAAAAGCGGCAAAAATTCTGTGAAATGGAGTTTGCAGTGGGGCTAGCAGAATGAGCAGTTCTCTTGCTTCAGAACAACGAATGTGGAGTATTAAAGGCTGAAGTCCCCCTGGAGTGGAGCCCATGTCCTGGTTGGCATGCATGGGAGGCCCGGACGGGCTGTGCTTTCCCCCCATTCTCCACCCTTGTATGTCGAAAGAGTGCCTGTGTTTTTTGGGAGCTTCTGGGCCAATCCACTCCCATAACTCTGTGCTTGCCAAGGAAGGGAGCTTGTGCGCTTAGGCCGTGGACACCTCTCCCCTGCTAACCAGTCTGTCCCCCTGCAGGGACCTCCACGATGCAGGTGAGCCAGGGAGCAGCACTGGTCACCCTCGCGCTGTGGGCACTTTGCTCACCGGTGCTGAGCACAGAAGGCAAGCGGAAGCTCCAGATTGGAGTCAAGAAGCGGGTGGACAACTGCCCCATCAAATCCCGCAAGGGGGACGTGCTCCACATGCATTACGCGGTGAGTGCTGTGGGATAGGCAAATGGGATGCAGCTGGGGGGGGGGATTGTTGGCCAAGCCCCCCCACCGCTTTGGGAGGCTGCCAGGGTGTTTTTCTGGAAACCTGGAGCAGGGTCAAAGGCCGTCGGAACCGCAGCTGTGGTGCTTGTGGGGTGAATTAGAGGCGAAAAGTAACTGCTACAAGGAAGGGTGCTTGTATACTTGTTGGTAGATAACGTTTATGATTCTTTTCTGCAAGGCAGCGTGATCCAAATTCAGGGTTTTAACCAGATGGAACAAGCCACTAATAACATAAGTCCTGTGGCTAGGAAAAATTGGCAACCCTTTGTAAATTAAGCACATTTAAATAGCCTCCCTCCCTCCCTCCCTCCCCTGCAAGGGAGTTGCCCCTTGCTGACCACCGCAGCTCTTAGACAGCGATTCCTCCAGCATCTGAGGTGTCACTCGTACTTTCCCACCCACTATCAAGTTCTCCTTGTATCATCACAGGGACTAGAAGCATAGCTCTTCTTTTGAAAAGTGCGAGTCTTCTGGAAGCTGGCTTCCTGCCCCCTTGCTCCTTCCCAGCTTATCCACAGTCCTGTGTTTCAGCCACACTCCCTTCCTGACTCACAGGAGCACGGCTTTGATGACTGTGGTGTTGGGTGACGGGGGAAATGGACAACGGCAGAGAGAAGGGGGCGGGCGAGGCTGGGGCAGCGTTTGGCTCCTGCCAAAGAGCACAGCGTGCCTCAGGTTCCCATTGCTTCTCCCCTGCAGCTCCTAGCACTTTCCTTGACCGCAGATCAGCACAGAGCGCCTGCATTTTTGCCCATGGCTTCCCCGCCATGCCTGCTTTCTGCCCTCCTTGCCTGGCCCAGGAGAAAGTGCCTTGGACTGTAGGGCAGGAGCGGCTCAGGTGAGGCAGTCACCCGCAGCCTCGGCCCTCCGTGTTCTCCCTCCACTGCTGCCACGCCCCCTGTCTCTCTCTCTCTCTCTCTCGGGGCCTTGCCAAGGTGAAAAAGCCGCGGGAACTTCCCCCTACTCAGCCCAAGTGCACGGCTTCGCTCGGAAGTGTACTCCATAGCTGGATAAGCGCCCGTATGGTAAACCGCCCCGAGATGCCGGTAGTGGGGCAGGTTATAAAAGCCTTAAATAAATCAGCCAGCCAGGGTGCAAAGTTCAGCTGCTGAAATGAGAGACGGCAGATTCTCCGGATGATGTCAGACCAACCTAACCCTGCGTGGAGATGCCAAGACTGGAGTCTGGAAGGGCCATGCTTATGCTCACCACGTGGTCTTCCTGCTGGAGCAGAGCCGCCCGACTTACGCTGAGTCAGGCACACAGGAGGACTGACTCGCTGAGCACTGTTTGCAGCAGGGGTGGGCATCTGCCTTGGGTCCGGGGAGGGGGCTGTGGTTCACTCCCTCATGCCCTCAGACCCTGCCGAGGTGGCGCTCCCAGTCCAGCCCAGCGGTCCAGCTCTGGTGTCCTTGTGAATCAGTCCCCAGACGTGTGTGAGCTTGGTTTTAGCTAGTCACTGTGCGGCCGAAGCGCTCTGGAATGTCCTGCCCCTGCACGTGGGTGGCGGCGGCAGGAGCTGCTCTGGGGGTGACTAGCACAGGATTTCCGATGCGCGCACCAAGCCCGGCTTACTCACGTCCCTTCTCACTGCTGCCATTTCCCTTGCAGGGAAAACTGGAAGACGGGACCGAGTTCGACAGCAGCCTGGCTCGTGATCAACCGTTTATCTTTACCTTGGGGACTGGACAAGTCATTAAAGGCTGGGATCAGGGCCTGCTTGGGTAAACTTTGGCTTCCAGCAGAGGTTTGGGGTGGGCTGGAACCAGGCTGGGGTGGCTGTAGCCGGACAGGTGGCCCCGCAGCACCTAGGTGAGGGCAGACTGTCTCCCGTGGACTCTGTCTTATCCTTACCCTTCTCATATTGCTTTCTCCAGAGGATACTCACTGGCCAGCCACTTCTGCCCCCGTTTAGATAACTTATTGAGAATTCCGTAACCAGAGCACAACCCCAGAGAAGGCTCTTGTCTGCAGGTGCCTTTACCTGAGGCGCCTTTAGTAGAGGACCTGGGAAAGCCTCTGTGGTGTGTCTCCCTGTCTCTTCTTTTTAAAACATGCAGCTAAATCTGGCCATTCAATGCGCTTTTAGTTTACTGCTTCTTTGTGGTCTTAGTCTGTCGTATCACGTGTGGCTTTATTTTAATGTTTATTTGGTTTCAAGGGTGTGTCTATGAATTGTATGTGCTTTATATTATAACTGCTGTCTGCCTTAGACACCATGGGGGGGGGAGGATCTTGGATTTGGTAATGAAACTAAATCACAATTATTTTCAAGTAAGAATCTAGTGCTTGTATTTTCGGAGCAAAAGTGGGAATCCTTTTTGCTGTTTATACTGTTTCTGTGATTCCTTTGATCCTTCTAGGATGTGCGAGGGTGAGAAGAGGAAATTGGTAATACCCGCTGAACTCGGTGAGGAACCAAATAATGGGTTGTGGGGTGGGAGGAGGGAATGTAATCAGCCCCCCTCCCACTGGGAACAAAGCTGGTAGGGGGCGGGTGTGTTGGCACTTGAGCGCTTCTAAGTACCCACCACTAAGCACTGTCTTGGCGTAACTTGGTCTCTTGAGTGACTTTGCTTCTGTTCCATCTGCTCACAGGTTACGGGGATCGGGGGGCACCCCCCCAAAATCCCAGGTAAGTCTTACATGCACCCCCTCTCTGCCCTGCAGGATCAATCCTGTTGTGGATCCTCAGTCAGCCCCCGAGTTCAATGTGCTGCTCCCACTTCCTTGTAGGCACCTGACACCTGTCCTTCCCTGAGTGAAGTATCAGCATCATCGATGTCAGGGCTGGGCAGAAAGCTGCGCTCCCGAAGGTTGGGATGGCATCTCCCAGCATTCCTGCCCATTGGAGCGTCTGAATTTAAAATACTTGGAGATTAACTTTCTGCCCACCTCTGGCTTACCTGGCTTATCATCTGACGTCCCCCTGTGGTCTTTGGTCATGCCAGGACAAGAGCATGAAGGGGCTTGAAAACGGGTGCCCCAGTTTCGGGCTGTCAGCTTTGGACCCACCCAAATTCCCAAGTGACCCTCCAGCATCTGTCACATTGGAAGGGATCCCGTGGTCCTGCAGCCCTCTTTCCCTCCGCACTCTTGACTTCTCCTTCTGCTCTCTTTGGCAGGTGGGGCAACGTTGATCTTTGAAGTGGAGCTGCTGAAGATCGAGCGGCGGCAGGAATTGTAGCTATATCTCTTCCGGGACCAGGGGGTGGAACGTGCGGCACGTGGGGCAGGGCGTCAGAGAGAGAAGCCGGGGAGGCATCCAAAGAAGCGACTCGGGGATTGTGGATCATTGACGGGCCAAATAAAAGCACAGACCAGATTTGTACTGTGACGGCAGGAGGCGGTGTCCGTGGGCGGAGAGCCGGACCCAGTGCCGAACTGGGCCGGAGGGCGTGTGCAGAGTGCTGCAGCTTTGGGCCTGGGGGAGAGGAGGCCCCTGCTCCGTAGCAGAGTCCCCGCGTTGCACGCAGAGCACTCTGGGTCCCTCGCTGCCCTCTGCAGTTGAAATGGCCTCCAGCAGGGGGATAGGAGAGGCCTCTGTCAGAGAGCCACTGCCCGGCAAGCACAAGAGCTGGGCCTTCACTCGGTCTGCACTCCTCCTGGAGCCGCATTATGCTGTGCTCAGGGCGGCCTGCGTACAATCCGGGCATGACTGCCGCGTCTTGGCCACGTTCCCCAGCAACTGGTATCCGTCAGCAGGCTGCCTCTGAGACTGGAGGTCGCCAAGAACTACCAGGGCGTCTCCAAGCGGGTGCCAGTTCCTTTTTAAAGCCCTCCAGCTGGGCAGCCTTTGCAACATCACGGTGGGAGCAGGCGCCACAGTTTTCCTATGCACTGTGTGGAGAAGCCCCTTTCTCTGTCTTGAGTCTCCCCCGTCAGCTCCGTGGGACGTGACCCACTGGTTTCCCCGATTACAAGAGAAGGGGAAACCTCCATTTCTCACAGCAGGCATAATTCCACACCCCTCTCCTGTCTCCCATTACTGACCTTCGTTCTTCGCTAAACAACCCCGGCCGTTGCCACCTTTCCTCACTGGGGAGTTGCTAGACGACCCCCCAGCTTTCCAGTAAAGACAGCTCTGGGTTCTCCCAAGTCCTCATCCGCCGTAACGGTGCCTTTGCACCCAGCAGCCCTGGCCCAGGAAGCTGGGAGCAGCCTTCCCCCTTGGAGGAGAGAAGCATCACCCAAGTTTGCTTTTCATATTAACAGGCTGGGGAAATAGCCTTTCTCAACGGAAGACTGTAGAGGTGCAGTCTGTAGCAGATAATAGCCCCTGCCTTCTTACCGTTGGCAGCTAGTCGGGAGCAGAAGGGGCAGTCCCCACGGTGAACTCTGACCTCACCGGAGGTAAGGGAGGGAAACCCCTTTTGCTGCTTGGCATTTCCTCCTTGCTCAGACAGGTAAGAAAGGGTGGCTCCCAGCAGCATGGTGATGTGGAGTGGGGGAGCTCGTGAGCTGGGGGGCACCAGGTGCAAGAGGCCCTCTGGCTCATCCTTGCAGCACTGCCGTGGCCGCCCCCCTGCAAACTTGCTGGCAGCGGGAGGGCAAGAGCAGGTAAAGGCGGCACCCGCAGGGGAAAGGAGAAGCACCCGCCAAAGCAGTTGCCTCAGCTGCTGTCCTTTTAATTTCCCCAGAATGCCCTTGGACCTTGCACTGAGAAGTATCCTGTTAGATGGAAGCCGCTGCAGCCGGCCCGTCCCTTCTGAGCACCTGACCGTTAAGCCACAGGTGTCTACAGGTGCACGTCTTAATTTTGCGGGAGGCTCTCCGCAGCAGTGGTGGGCGGTCGTGGGGCCAGACACTTGCCCACCGGGCTGGGCACTGGCACCAGACCTGGGCGCAAGAACTTAGGAACAGCCAGGCTGGGTCTCTCTAGGCCAGCCTCCTTGTGTGCACAGCAGCCAAACAAGCCACCCCGGCGCTGTCGCAAGGAAGCAAGACGCCTGCCCTTTCTCAGTCCCGCTCAGTCCCGGCTGCCCTCCCATGGAGTCGGTTTTCCAGGAGCAGGGCCAGCACCCTGCAGCAGGTGGTGTGGGCTGCAGCGCTTGCCTTGGCAGTAATGGCCTAAGGTGAAGGGGGAGGTTTGAGCAGAGGGCATGTTGCCAGGCTGCAAGCAAGACACAGGACCCAGAAAACCCCAGGGCATGTTCAGACGACTATCCCGGGAAGGGCTGTTTAGGTGGGCTTCACTTGGCAGAAGGCTGGGGTCTCCGCCTTGGTCTAGCCCTGGTCTGATGCTGCCTTCGCTCCTGGCCAACTCCGTCCCCCATGAAGATGAGCTCCAGAGAAACTTGGCCACTGGGTGGCTTTGGTGGAAAGCGATGCATCCCAGAATCCTCCTGTGGTGGCTCAAGGTATTCTGGGCGCTTGCTTGTTTGTTTTTTGCTGCATGCCCATGTCCCTGCTGTTCGAACTGGGGTGCAGAAGCTCTTTAGCCCAAGGCCCAAATTCTTGGGCGGAGGGGTGCGTTCCAGGGGCACCTGGGACTTCAGCAAAAGGAGTGAGGCCAAGGCAAAGTAGAAATGGTTTTGTTGAGGCTCTTTTTATCAGTATTGAGAGCCCATGTAGTGGGAAGAGTGTTGGACTGGGGTGCTGGGAGAACTGGGTTTTAGGCCCCACTTGGCCATGAGACCCACTGGGCGACTCGGGGCTTGTTGCAGAATGTCAATCCAGATTGCTGGGGTTGTTTTTGGAGCTAAGCGAGCTGCCTTGGATTCCTCACAAGTGGAAAAAAGGCAGCCTGATAGCCTGAAGGAAATGTTTATGGTCTTTTAGAGGAAGATCTGCTCAAAAGCTGGGAAGCTGCCACCCCCCCCCCAAAAAAAAAAGTTGAGGAAAGGTGTGGGGTCTCCTGGGACCCCCAAGACCGAGGTTCTGCGCCCATCCTAGGGACAGGGCTTTCTCTGGCTAGGTTGCCAAGGGCCTGCAAAAGAGTCTTCCCTGACTGTTTGGTAGAAGTTGGGTTTGCCAAGGACAGAATCAACAGAAGCGGCAGCCGTTCCGGCCGTATGGAGCATGGCGAGAAAGTGAGATAACAGATGAATCTGTACTGCTGTACATAAAACAGACGAGACATGGGGTGTGCTTCTCCAGTTAAAATTGCTGAGTGCAGGCACCGCTGGACTCCCGCCAGCATTTGTGCAGTGTTAAAAAGAACAGTGGTTCTAAGCATCACAGTGGCGACGCAGGGACAACGGGCTTGCTCTATGCTTCCCCGGGACCCAGGGAGCGATAGGTAGGGTCCAGCTTGCACGGGAAGCGTTCTCCACGCTCCCTTGTTCAGTGTCAGCGAAAACAGTTGAGGCTGTGTGTCCACTGCCCTTAAGGAAAAAAAGTAACAATCACATTTGTGCCTAATTTTGCAACCTCCATAATTTATGCCAGTGAAGCAATTTGCATATGGGCTGTACTTGTTCCTGTTAGCGCTGTGGAGGAACAAAGAATTATATTTAGCAGGATGTGTGCCCTTTCTGAGATACAGCATCGCTCAGTTCTCGTCCCAATTTTGTGATTCTCACCACATACTTCCGCTAGTAGTTTCTAGGTTGCAACAGCCAGAAAGTCGTCCCCCACCCCCCCACCCCAGTGTAGAAAGAAGGGTCTTAAAAGCCGAAAGCCTGGTTGTCCATTCTAAGTCTGGAAGAATAGTAGTCTTGCTACCTTGCGCAGAAAAAATACAGGACCTGTAGAAATCCACCTTCCCAACCTGGTGTCATCCTGCTATGTTGGACAACCACCCCCATCATCCGCTGCCAGCATGGCTTAGTAAAAGGGCTTTGGAAGGACTCCTGCTTCCTTGTAGATGGGGAATGTTTGTATTATTAAATATGTGTTTCTCTTTCCACTGTAAAAACCACAAAATGGAAATCCATTCATATAATGGTTGGGTGGAGGGGGAGGCGGGACCTGAATTGGAACGAAACAGAATCAGGAGAGTAGTATAAATACTACTAAAATAAATAATAGGAAGATGTGGGCATGTGGCCCCTTTATAAGATTCTGCTTAAACCACACTGAGAAATTGGCTGGTGTCCACGTGTCGCCATCGTCTCCAGTTTAGGCCGACCCCCTCCATTTGCGTTGGCGAATAAGTCCCAGAATCCCCAGTGGCTTGCTGGGGATTCTAGGAGTTGTCCGGTCTGTCCGACGGGCATCACCGTGGGTCAGGCCACTGCAGCCTGTTGGTTCAAAGGGGAAAGGCAGGGGTGCTTTCTGGCAGAATTGTGCTTTCTTCCAGCCGCAATACAGGGCCTGACAGACGAAGTCAACACGGGAGATGCCTCCTTCTCTTTAATGATTAAATCATAATGATAATAATGCATGTAACACCAGCCTTCCAGCTCGAGAGCTGAATGAGCCACAGTTCATCTCTGAAGCGAGCGTTTTTTTACCCAGCTCGGCACACAGAAGCGGAAACGAGACCGGAGCTTATGGGCACGTCTGCCCTTTCCCTACACGCTGGCGGGGCTGCCCCACCCCTTGGGATGAGAGCTCTGCGGTCTGGAAACCCAGGACTGCTTTTTAAGCCTGCGGCGAGGCGAGGCTCTCCAAAGTGCCTTCTTGCCTTCCACCACGCCACCACGGCCGTCCTTTTGAGGCCCAGGCCAACTCCCCGTTCTCCCTCCCTGCAAAGAGGCATCTGGGTTCAAAAGAGGTGCCAAGAAGAGCGGGGAGGGCGAGACCTCCGAGCCACGTGGAGTCACAGGCCAGGAGCTGCTGGCTCCCTAGGCCAGGGCGGGCAGCTTCTGCTCCGGGACTGCTGGTGACTTCAGGCAGGAAACACGAAGGCCGATTAGTTCCAGGCCCCCAAAGACATTCTTTCCTCGCTGAGTTCAGCCACAGATGGAGGGTGGGGTGGGGGAGGCCCTGCCTGCAGCCCCCCCGGGACAGGAGAGGCCGCGTTGCTGACGGGGGGACTTGGGGCTCGGCGCGAACCTGCTCCTGTCCGTCCGCGCTTCCGGCTCCTTCATTCCGGCGTTCCCAACAGGCAACAGGCACAGAGCGGCCTTGTGGGGAGGAACCGGGTGTCTCCCTCCCAATACCCCAGGGACCAGGCTAACCAAATGCTTTGATGTCCTTTTATCTCTAGCTCGGGGAGTGTAGGAAGCGGAGGCACCAGCAAGAGCCTGTCCTTGTGTGGGGGAGCTCAGCGCTCGGAGTTACAGCCTGTTTTTTGCCTGCTACGGACGCCCCTCTTACCCACTCCCAATTTTATCCAAATCCCCCCCCCCCCCCCAGTAAGGTAGGCTGAGCTGAGGGCACACAGCTGGTCTAGGTGGGTTTATGCACATACATGTGGACAATTCGTTCTCCGTTAAGCAAACAGGATGTTACATTACAGGCACCCCCTATTTAAAAAAAAAAAAGGTACAATTCTCCCATCAAATGCCCTTTTCTCCATACTAGTCTTTCCCATCCCAGAAAAGCAGACCCCCGTTCTCAAAGCATCTTTATTAAATTTATATAAAAACACAATAATTAAAAAAAACCATTTCTAAAAAAAAAGAGAAAAAGAGACCTCCAAAACCTATTGTTTCCACCCCCTCCCCTTGGAGAAAAAGCGTCCCCCTTCCACCCCCTTCCACATCAGGAGCTGGGAACAGGAAAGGAGGAACAGGCTGATATTGCTAAAAAGATGTCCAGATAGGTTTGATTATCAAAGCATCCCAAACAAGGAACTCTTCCCTCTCTTGTAGAAGGGGGAGGAGGTACCTGATTCTCCCCAGACACGTGAAAGCACCCCTTCCCGCAAACCCCGCCTAGCCAGAGTTTCAACGACAAGCTCCCCACAGAGGATGGAAGGCAGTGATGGAAGCAGATCTGTCAGCGATTCACTTCTTCTGGGGAGTGCTGAGTTTCTGCATTCCACGGATCTTGTCTAGCAAGTCCGCCACAAAAACCTAGAAAAGGGAAGGAAGGGGAGGGTTCACCAAGCGGCAGCAGCAAAATTTCCAGTAGCAAAGTTTATGGGAAACTTTGTGCTAGTTCTGTAATCCCAGAAGTGGCCCTGGGATTTGTTTCCCCCCACACAAAATCCATCGTGCAATTACGGTGCAAACCACGGCTCTGTTCCCACCCTAAAAGGCAGCATCGAAATAATTTTAAGATTTAAAAACGGTGCCCAAAGACCTCTAAAATTAAAATAGGCTGGCTCTTTGGCCCTGCAAGACGTGGGGGCCTGAGAGCTAGCATTTTCCCCTGGGGTGGGCAGGGGTTTTGCACCCTCAGTTGCCAGACCCCGGTGGCGCAAAGCACGAGCCTTCTCGAGGCGCCTGCATTTGGCCGGCCCGTTTGGGTCGGCTCCAGCCCGCTCCCCCGCCAGGGGCAAGATGTCGCAAGCGGGAGAGCAGCTCCGATGAAGTCACCTCCTTCCACACAGCCGCTTTCACGGGAGGAGGGGGAGCCCTCCCAAAGCCCCCCTGCTCAGGCAGGCCAGGCCAGGGGCAGCCAGTCGTGCAGGGCCTCCTCGAACAGGTGCTGGAAAGCACGGGGGGCTGTATTCCCCGCTGTGGGAGGAGGAGGAGGAGGCGGCTGCGAGGCCGAGACAGCTGCCTTCCCGTCTTCCCGGGCTCAGCAGCAGCTGCCAAGGGAAGAGGATACTCGGAGCGCCACCTCCCTTGCCCCGGGCGAGGGAGGTGGGGGAGGGAAAGGATGTGAGGATAACTTTCCTACAGGTAATGGGAGCACCGCCGTGCCCTTCCAGGGAAACACTCACCTCCGTGGGCTTGTAGCAGTCAACCAAGAGCTCCTGTGTAGAGAGAGAGAGAGAGGGAGAGCGGGCAACGGATGCCGGGGCTTGGAAGGCACCAGAAGTCTGCCCTGCCCTGCCCTCCTTGCCTGTCCTCAGCCTGTGCCTAACTCCCTGGCCAGATCCTGACCGTTTGGGAAGGGAAAAGTGCAATAAAGATCCCTTCAAAAGAAAAAGACCCCCCTCCCCTCCAAAAACGACCACTTCCGGTCTCGTGCCAGCACTGCTCCCTGGGCCTGGCACACGTGCCCCTCGGCTCCAGCCACGCTAGCGCAGCCGTTGGGGAGCCTCAGGTCGGGGGACCCAACTAGTCCTCATGGTCTCCCCAAGCCCCGCCCCCTCCCCCTCGCCGCCACGGCGCGCTCCGGGCAGGCCTGTCCCCACGCGAAGGGCCAAAAGGCCTCGCGCAGGCCGGCACTGTGAGCCCCGAGCCGCCACGTGCCCAGGGCTGGGGAGGGCCGTAGCCCGGCCGGCCGGCCGTCCCCTGAGGAAGCCTTTCCGAGGGCGAGCCTGGGCCCAGGGAGGCCCCAGCCCGGCTGCCCGCCCAGCCCCACGTCCAGCAGGAGCGGGATTTCCGCAGGAGGGCCCTCCCCTCGGCCCGCGCCTACCTTCACCCTGGTGCTGCGGGACTCGTCGCTCTCCATGTCCAGGAGCTCGTCCACGTCGATTTCTAACTCGGGGATCTCTTCTTCCTGTAAGTGGAACCCGCAGCGGCGTGTGACGTTTTCCCTCATGTCTTGTTTCCCCGGCAATTTGGGTCTCGCGTCTCCGCGTGAGGGAGGGGGGAACCCAGCAACGGTTTTCATCAATAATAATTTAATCGCTGTACCAACACCCAGAAGCTGGAGCTTCCACGTTTTGTTTGGGAGCTGGGCCGGGCTCCCAGTGTGAAAGTAGGCCTCGGCTTAAATATTTCCCCCGGGGAGGGCAGAGCCTCAAAGGGGAGGCCAGCAGGTTGGAATTAGGCACCCCCACGGTGCGGGGGGAGGCATTCCTTCCACTGCCAAAATGGAGGGCTACGAAGTATTCCAATTAGCCGGGGCAAAGGGGGTGGGTGCCCCCTTTCCTTTGGCAGTACCCCCTCAGCAGTTGCTTTCAGAAGCCAGGGTAGGGGGAGCTTGGAGGTTTCATTCGTTCCCCCCAACCTCCCCCGCCATCATTTGATCACTGCAAGCATGGATCTTAAAGGGGGGCACAGGCCAAAGGAGCAGGGAATGTAAAAACCTGCCTTCTCTCAGCCTTTCCAAGGAGAGAGACCTGTTTGAGGTTTTGTTTCCAGCTTCTCCAGACCTGTGCCAGAACCAGCTCAGAGAGGTGTCCGTTACTAGTGTCTGCAAGTGTGTCATTTCACTGCTCCAGAAAGTCGCCGATTTGCGGTGAAAGTGGCTTAGCACCTTTTTCAATGCTTTCCTTCAGGAGTAACTGCAAGTTTAAGGTGGTTTCCCTCCGCCCAAAAGTCTGTGTGTGCACTGGCATCTCTGCTTATTGTTTCTGTCATCACCTGGCTCTGCTCCATCTAGGTCAGGGCTATGCCACCTCCCTTACCTGATTGACACCTGTGGCAAAATGGAGGTAGTAAAGAGGACTATACCATTCCGATAGCGGGGGGGTGGGGGTGTTCCGTTTTGAATGCTCCCCTTTGCTTCTAAATCAAATTCCCCGCAAGCCTTTTATTTTAATTAACATAAGAGCAAAGATGCGATGGGCAGTTTAGCTGCCCACAAATGGGTTTGGTCTGCAACTCCCATCATCCCCTCACCCCTGGCTGTGCTGGCCAGGGCTGATGGGCATTGTAGGCCAAGATAGCTGAACAGATACAAGTGACCCACCCCTGCAGATAAATTGTCCTCCTTTCTACTTCGCTACCTGTGTACTTCCAAGCGTGCATTCCAAAGAATGTCTCATGCGCACACATGTTGCCGTTCCTACCCAATTCTCCCGCATGTTTGTACTGGACCACAGTCCCTGCTCTAATTGTGATCTCTCAGGAGTGATCACAATGGGGGGAACCAGTAAGGGCTGCAAACTCACTCCAATCAGTTCATTAGTCAAATTATAGATTACAAGGAAAAAGACAATTCTTTGGATGATTAAAAAGTTGCCTGTTAAACGGACAGCTGGGGCAATTGTGGGGGGTGCTGGGTTTCTGTTGCTTTTGGTGCAAATACTTGGTAGGGAAGCAGTATAGTGCTCTGACCACCATTTTGCAGGGAACGGTGGGATATAGATTTTAACTTTTGTTAGCCTCCCAGAGAGCCTTGGCTATTGGGCGGTATAGAAAATGAAATGGCTATAAACGAAATAAGTGGCCATTGGTGCCATATTGAAAAAGGGCCCTTCTCTGGCTTCTATTCCACCCAGGAATAGTTACTTTCCCCAGCTGATGTGCCAGACTACAACTCCTATCATTTGCAGCCAACCATGGCTGGGAAGGCCGCACCATAAAAGGCTTCTGCTAACACAGGACTTAATTCCCCACATGTTGCTATTTATGAAAACTGGCATGAAAACCACCGCCATTCGCATGCTGCTTCTGTTGCCTATCCAAACGTTTGCTGATTGACGCACCCACCTGAATCCTAGTCAAAGGTTTAATTGAAAAATAAAAAGACCGGGGAGCCACCTTGCTCTGCACGATGAAACCCACTTAGCCTCAGCAGACGCCGGGCATGCTGGCTTTTCCCTGATCGGCACCCCAGGAGCCTCTCGTCTCGCTGAGCTCGCTCAGCCGGGTAACAGAAAAGCCCCTGAGGTGTGTTTTCTTAGCAGTCTGGGGACAAAGGTAATCCGGCCGCCCACCTGCCGAACCCCACCAAGGCTGACATTTATGGTCTTCCTGGCTAATAGTCAACTAACGTGGTTAGAAGGTCGCGGGGCAGCTTCGGAAGGCATGGCTAAGCCTTCTGCAATCTTTGACCACCTACTTATTAGCCCATTAGGCAGCTCAGACACAAGACCCATATGGCCAAATAATCCGCATCCCCCCCCCCACCGCGCAATCCATGCAGGGCCCGGGGTCGGCTGGCTGCCAGATGGTATTCCATGGGGCAGTGGAGCAAGAAAGCTAATACTGGCATTGTGTCCAGCCGGATACAAAAGACATCTCGGTCTTGCGTTCAAATGCTGCCATGATTCCGAATGTGCCGGGCAGCGACTGGGCTCAGCGGCAGTCCCTCGGCTCCTCCCAGCACCCCAAGTACCCCCACTTTGTGTAGGAGCAAAGTTGCCAAAGAGGAGGGAAGCGCAACCGGCTTTTCCTCCCTGTTTGTAACATAATCTCATTATGCCTTCGGGTTTAAGCAGCAAGAATCCTGCAGAGTTAAGAAGTGTGCACACATTAAAAAAAAAAACCCACCACATGATCCATTAATGCAGCTGCTCCTCTCAAGAGACAGCTGCCTCGGGCCCTTTCCAAATCCAGAACAATGCACCCTGCAGAGAGCCGAAGGGAACAAGATCTGGAGGTTTATAGCACACTGCAAAACCAAGAGGAGGAGGATTTAGGCCTGTGCTGGGTTGGGGAAGGGTGAAATTCGAACACAGGTTTGTGGCTACGGCAAGTCCGGAGAGCTTGCATGCTTGATGACCTTAAATGACCTTCACCGCCAACGTAAGACGCTGGGAGCGTGGCCTCCTGCCAGCCTGTGGGGTGGGCAAGCAGGGGTGGAGGCAGATCTTCCACCTGATACATCCATTTTTAGGTTTGGGGTGTGAGGGCTGCTTGAGGGGGTGGGGCTTTGTGTTGGGCGTGGCCACCAAGTGCCCTACGAAATTTGGCACATGGAGAAGAGATGATGAATAGGCAGAAGTGGCTGAGCAAAGACGCTCAGGTGTGCCAACCCCAGGAAAGGGGTATGGCTGAGTTGCTGAAATATACTCCGCTGGATGGAAAGCTTTTAAAAAGTGCTTGTTTGGGGGACCAGGGGGGATGTTTGATTCTGGCGAGGGGTTGCAGCCCGTTTCTGGAGCTGCGTGGGCAGAGTTCTTGCCACTAATGATCATGTGGGCTGAAGGAGATAGCAAAGCAATTACGGGCACCCGCGAGATACGAGCTTTTGTTTGTATTATTATTAATATTCGGGGAGGGGGAGCCCAGAGCCCTGCTGGCTATGGGGGTACATAGGCCCTCCACAAACTAAGCAAGGGCCCATGCTGGCCAGATTGGAACAGGATGGGTTAGGTGGTAGAGCAGATCCCCTATTTGGAGAGGCATCTGGGGAACCAGGAAGGACAGACAAGTCTTCAGTCCAAAGAAGAGGACGGTGTCTGTACTCCGCAGGTAACTGGACCTCATTGCCCCATGGGCTGGACCAAGTCATGACGAGTGGAGTGTACATATATGGCAAGGGGGGGGAGCAGTGTGTGGGGAGGGACCGGGGGAAGAATAATGGCCCTCATAACTGCTGTCTGACACAGAGAGGCTATTGCAGGGTGTGGGGCCGTGAACCCCTAGGAGGTTAGAACCTTTGGATCTGAGATTACAAGCGCAGTGTCGGGGTCTGGGGCTCTCCCGATCCGAGGGAGTCCGTGAGGCCGCTTGCGCTCCAAGTGAATAGGGAGTGGTCTCTCAGGGTGGGGATCGCTAGAAAACCTACCCGCGTATGTATAGACGCGGTCCAGCCATTCTCTTTGTTAGACATGACAGCTCTTCCCAGGGCTGTGCTGGGAAATTTCAAGGATATACATAAGGGGTGTGCGCGCGCGATGGAGCCGTATGGGGTGGGAGGTACTGGGGAGGAGGGTCCTGCTTGGGGACCCATTAACCCAGCCTTCCCCAGCTGGGTGCTCTCCAGATGTGCTGGGCTGCGAATCCCAGCCTGGCTGGGAGGGGGATGCTGGGAGTTGTAGTCCGCCACCTCTGGAGAGCACCAGTTTGGGGGGAAGGCTGCATTAACCCTTCCCTCTCCATTCCATCCCCCCCCGCCCCTCAAAATTTAGACTGTAACCTCCTAGCGGCAGGGATCTTTTTAAACGTCGTCGGATAAAGGCAAAGAGCCGGACACCGGGCCAGGCGGATATCGCACAAAGGCTGCCCGTTCCCGGGAACACGCTTCTCCCGGCAGGAGGGCGAGGCGGGTTCCCCGGCCTTTCGGAGGGGTCTGGCGGGGCAGGGGAGCGGGGCGTCCCGGGGAGAGCGGCAGGCCGCGGCGGGTTACCTGGCAATCGTACAGGACCGTCAGCTGCTCCAGGATCCATTCTTCCAAGTGGAGCCTCTTCCGGAGTTCTTTGCGATCGTATTTCACGGTCACCCTCCCCTGGCGCCGCACCGGGCCGTCCTCCTCCTCCGCGGCGGCTTCTCCTGCCGGGGGGCTCTGGAAATACACGCGGGGCCCCGTCCCCGCAGCCGCCGGCGGGCCGCTCTCGGGGCTGCAAGGCGCCGCCATCCGAACCGGGTCGGAACCGGAGGGCGAGAGGACGTGGAGCAGCGGCGCCGGCGACGTGGAGCGAGTCCGGCTTCTCCCTTCGCGGGCTTTCCGCTCGTGCGGAGCGGCACCACGTGGGCCCCCGGCCGGATCCCAAGAACCGAACCGGCACCGCCACCAGATGGAGCTTCTCTTCCTTCCCCCACCCCCACCCGCTGCTTCTCTTCCCTCTTCTGGGAAGGGAGCCGGAAAGCGATGCGGATCTAGACGTGTTCCGCTTTGTCCCAAACCGGCACCAGAACCGAGACTCCAGAGGAGCACGTGCGAACCGAACCGGCAAAGTGGGTGGGAAGGCGGCGGCGGGGGGGGGGGGACTCCTGGGGTGGCTTCCCCGCCCCCACCCTGTCCAGACTGTCGCACGTGCAACGGGTTCAGGATCTGGCCCCGAGAGGAACGGGACTCGACACCGAATCGGAACCGGATTCGCAAAACTCCTCCTGTCGTCTTGCTTCGCTTCGTGTCTTCGCTCGCCAAGCTGGAAACCGGGCTGGTCCTCCGCGGGCACACGCGCCCAGCCCTCGCTCCGGGCGCAACTGCTGCGCCGCGCCGCGCCGCGCCGCGCCGCGCTGGCCGGTTCCGATCCGCTTCTGCGCCCCGCCCGCGACTCGGCCCCTTTGTCCCGCTGGAGCTGCTGCCGCCGCCGCCGGTGCCGCTGGCTCCGTCTCTCCCTCCTCGCTCGCTCGCCCGCTCCCCCCGCCCGCCCCCGCCCCCTTAAAGGGGCCGCATGGCAGTCCCGCCCCCCCCCCCCGCGGCGTTCGGCCAGCTGCCCTGACCCCCGCCTGCCCCCCGGGCCACGTCTGCCTGCCCCCCCGGCCCCCCGGAGCCCGCAGCCCGCCCCCCAAGCCCCTCCCCCGGGGAATCTCTCCCCCTGCCCTGCGCAGGGTGTGTCTCCCTCCCCCCTCCCGTGCGATCCAGTCTGTCTGCTTGCCTGTCTGGTTATCTTATCAGGAAAAGAGGGAGAGGTGAGGCGGCCAGGGCGCTTCTTAGCTGAATTACATCGCAGTCGCTTTCGGTGCGGTGCTGCGTTCACGCATCTTGCCACCTCAGGCTGATCCGAGGCAGCGGGAGGCGTCTGCAGATCTGAGCCTCGGGTGCTCAGGCAAAAAGTGCACCCACTGACACATGCAAATCGGTGTGCATAATTAGGAAGAGCTGCTATCATTTAAATGTTCGGGATGGCGAGGCAATTGGTATCTTGGCTGCTTTCGGGACAGAACCCTGCGGTGTCCCAAACTCATTCTTGTTTGAGCACCGATGACGCTTTTGCAGGGTCTTTGGGGCCCAAATCTGGATGGGGAGGATTTTTTCTTAGTAAATAGAGTAGGCTTTCCTTCTGAGCAACTCCTGGCTTGCACTTCACCTCACAGCTCACCAACATGGTGGACAGCACCGAACTGGGTGAGGGGACCCAGAAGTCTTTGCAGATTATCTCATATACTTTCTTTTGAGATTCCCCAACACTCCCCCCTCCCTTTTCACTTCTTGGGTTCTAACATCTTGAAACCCTCAAATCTACACCAAATGTTATAATGTTAAATTTCTATCAGCCTTTGTAAGAAGCGGTGCAAGGCCAGCAGAGAAAAAGGGTATTTGGTTTCAGGGGAAAAAAACTCAGAAAGAGTTTTTTTTTGGGGGGGGGGACAAGAGAGAGGGGAAACATGTGGGCAGAAAGCCAGCTAATCTCGGGGATCAGAAGCAACCCCTTTGTCTTGAGTTCAGCTAATGCCATTTTTCTGCAGCGCCTTGAAAAGCAGCATCTTTCGAAAATGACTTTCTGTTCAGCGGCCGACTGCCCACGAAAGTGCATTATGCCTCAGCAAATGAGCGCACAGAAAGGCACACGAAACACTCACATCTTACCTTGTGCCAAATTCAGACATAGCTGTTCATTCAAACTTTTTGCAAGCACACCCACTGCTGTTTCCGCTCCCCCCTTCCCCAAAGTGGGCTGTGGGAAGCGGCCGGCAGATCTCCTTGGTCTGGTCAGGGCCTCCCTTCCTATAATCAGCCCTGGGCTTGTGGAAAGGCCCAGTCACAATGGATTAGGCAGTTCCTTGCAGAGGCGGCGGCACACCCGGAGAAAGCTGGGTGACCGAGGTGCTGCAGGCAATTTTGAACGCTGAACGTAATGAACATTGCAAGCAGTTTGTGGAAGGAAAGTGTGTAGGAAGGAGTTTTGGCTGTGCCCCACTCCTTCCTAATCTGCTGAGTGACTGACTCTTAAAAACTGCAAAGCTGCTGAGTTTAAAAGGTGTGTATTAAGACAGATGAAGGCAGCTAGAAGGATGCCCAGGCCGGTCTTCCCTTAACACCATTCACATGGCTGATTGCATATCACTGAAATCCATGTTATTTATGCCTATATCACTGTACCAGACTGATACTTTGTACGTCTTATTTATGTGTTGTGCACCTAATGTTTATATCTTAGTGCCTTCTACAATATCAGACAAATATTGAATCAAGACACAGTACTGTGTGTGGTTAGACGGGAAGAAAGGTGTGCGCACGGTGGGCATGTTGTGAGCGGAGCCGGCTGGAGCTGGGGGTCAGACTAGATGGCCCAGGAGGCCCCTTCTGACTCGCTCTGTTTCTATGTTTCTATGTAACTCACTCAACTCTTGTCTCGTCTGTCTGGGTATATGCAAACACACGTGTATATATTTCATGGGATGAAAAATATACATGCAGAGCTTTTAATACACACACCCTCTCTCTCGTTATGGATTGGATATAGGCTCGGTCACACTTAGCACAGTCCCATTAAAATGAACCAGACTGAAGTTAGTTATGACAAATTTAAGTCCGTTGATTTCGGACCATCTGCTTGTATGTGGCTAAATGAAGATCCAGCCCGGTTTGTTTTATGATATCTACAGATGTCCTCAGTCTACACACTGGAACATATGCACCCGTATTTCTCATGGTATTAACAGGACTGGTATTTATAAGAGCAGATGGTATATATGTTTTATTTATAGGGGATGTAAGTTTGCTTCTATATGTGTACACACGCAGCATTCAAATTGAATTGACTTTTGGAGACACAGGCCTAGGTTGCTTTGAGTTATTTCTGAAAACCCTCAGGCCGACACATTGCTGTTGTGTTGCGATGTTGTGTAATGTGCATGGTTCCCGTATTGCTTTGTGGCTTATGGCTTTTCTCCCATGTGGTTGTGATCCTTTGCTTCTGTGTGGATTCACACGTGGCATTGGTTTAAAAAAGGTTAGTTACCCTGGATACTCTTCCCTTGGTTTGTGTGTGTAACTTTCAGCTCGCTAACAGGAAACAGGGATTGCCAACCGAAGCAAGCAGAATGTGTTCATGATTTAAAATTCAGGCTTGATCAATACAGGAAGATAATTGCTTGTTTTAATCATCTCCGCTAGCCAGAGTTTATGATGCTGAGGGGTGCTTTTATTCTTCAGAGCCTGTTAAGAGCTTCATGCCAGGCCGATATGCAGTACATCGACTCCAGGAACAGGGAAGCAAAACTGGGCTTAATGGATTTTGGAATAGCTGAGCCGCACTGAAAAGCACAGGAGCCCTACTTGAGGGAAAAGGGGGCACCTTTGCCCCTGTGAAGATGAGGTGCAGGAGGGCAGAAAGTGCTGCCCACACCCTGTCCGTGTGTAGTGGGATGTGCAGACGCAAGGCAGGCCCTCACCAGATCTGAAATCCGCTCTCCTTATCTCCATCTGTGATACATCGTGATGTTCAGCACCGCCTAGCTAGTCACTAGGGAAAAGGATTTCTGTGGCTTTAAGATTCAGGATCCTTAAGGGAAGGGAGGGGAGGGGAGGGGGGAGCACGTGCTTTGGGCCCCAACAGAAGCTCAATTCAGCCACTTCCTGCCCAGGAGGAGAAGAACAAGAGCAGCTGCATGAAGAATTTAGGAAACTGAGTCAGACCATTGGCCAATTTAGTCCAGAGCCAGCCGCTCTCCAGGGTTTCGTGTGGAGATTTCCCAGCCAGTCCCTTTAGTTGCCCAGTATCTTTTCAGCTGAAGAACTCGGCGAAGCTGAAAGGGCCCACGATGATGCCCCAGAGCGGTGTCTCCGTGGCTTCGCAGCTTATAGGGCTTTGCCGTTGCTGCCCCGTTGGCAGCTTGACCCATGATACTCCCTGTTGAGTTTGGTCTCAGCACAGGGCTTTGAGTCCTACAGGACCTTCCCACCCATGCTCCCCAGAAGCTGGGGTATGTAGTCCATGCACAGTACAAAGAAGTCTGTCCCTTCAACCGATCTGAATCTATTATTATTGCATGACGTTTCTATACCACACATAGCCAAAACTCTCTGGGCAGCACACTGCCTTTTCGGTCACCCATCCAAATTTCAGCCAGGACTGACCCTCCTTAGCTTCCAAGATTAGGCACTTGAGGTGATACAGAAGGTATGGGGTCTCCCACTGACCACACCCCCTCCTCTGTTTCTTAGAGAAGGGGGTCCCCTAAGACCACGAAACTAACATGCTCTTACATGCCCCATTGTGTAGGGTTGTCGCAACCAAACATAGCATGTTCTTTTGCCTGGGACTGGACATGGGACCTGTATTTTATACATCCCCAAACTGTAAGCAGTGGGTCAGTGGGAGACCCAGAGCCTAGGATCTGCCCCTTGTCTTCGGAAACAAAATATGTTGTGCTCTGTGATGGCTTCGTGCTTGTGGTTAGGCCTGGCTTTTTTTCTTTCTCTTTTTCTAATTTTTGCTGCCCCTCTGGATCTTGTTGCCCTGGCGAGGGCTGGAAAAGGCAACCCATGCACGTGGGGGCTGGAAGGAGAAGGGTCTCCCAGCTGAACAACAATCGGCATCCTTTATGTACAACCTTGAACTAACATCTCCCCCTTCAGGCTCCGTGGAGAAGTAGTTTGGGAAAAGGACAAAGGGATCAACCCATAGAATCGAAGTGCACCTTGCAACCTTTTAAAGAGATATTTTTGTAAGTAGAAAAGGTGTGGAGAGGGCACGTCAGTTTGCTGCAGAGTTTCATTAGCACTGGGGAATCTGCCGTTCTTTCCTAAGCGAAGAGAAGTGTGCCTCTGAGCACGTGCAGGCTGCCCCCTTCCATCCCCAAATTGTAGGACCACTTTTCCTGCTTCTGCCAGAGGGGCTTTCCTAAACACCTTTGGTACACAGGTGACTATCAGCTTCTGTGAGCCTGGAAAGAGGTCCTTCTATGCATACAGATTCAGGATTGAGTTAGGTGAGCAGGAAGAAGCTAGCCATAACAGGAAAGGCCAGGTTAGATGGGAAGGTAGTCCAACCTGGCATAACCCTGCTAGTAGTTTGATCTACCTGAAGGCATGATGGATTGATTGATTGATTGCATTTCCAAACCACCTAATAGCTGCAGCTTTTTAGATGGTTCACAACAATTAAAACCATAAAAGTTAGCAACTTGACAAATCACAACAGAATACATTTTAAGATTTAAAATTATGGTATAAATCCAAAATAAAAATCACAGCAACAAACTGCAGGGTGTACAAAGATCTAAAAAACCCCCCTGAAGATTTAAATCAATAAAGACTGAGCTACTGG